CCAGTGGCTCGCTGGATATGAATCCTGTACTGCTGGGTGTAATCTATATTAGTTTAAAAACCTAACCTGATGGTGGTATGTTCTCATATAACAGACACGCCTTCCTTGAGCCCACTAACTTCCCAAACCTGATTACAGAGGCAGTCGGGGAAGTTTAGGGGAAGTGACCTCGCTGTGGTCTCTTCCTACTCTCTTTGGTCTGCCGCAGCATGCCCCGGAGTTCAGAGTCCTGATCAAACTAATGAGGGTTTCAGTGGTGAAGTACTGCAAAAGCATTAACAGTGACACAGCGAATACTAAAACAGCAACCCTGTCCCCTATAAATGGTTTTTATATACATACTATATATATATATACTAACCTCAAGGGTTAGGGTTAGGTCAGTTCATTGGCAATGTTTCTGTGTGCAAGTCATACGGAGCTTGTTGGGGGTGGATGGTTGGTACACATACCACAGGTTTCTGGCGCTCTAGGCCAGGGTTCAAATCCTGAGTCCCTTGTGTGGTTACATTTAGGCAACAGAAGCACTTTGTCTAAGATTAGCGGACGATCCTGGTTCAGTTACATGTTAATAAAGTACCAACCCCATGTCTCATGCTTCAAGTAGCTGTTGATGTTGATATTAAACATTAACCATGAAAAGATGGAATCAATGCTTTAGGTGCTATGAGTGAATACTGTGGGCAATGTAGGTTTTGACTGGAAGAAGAATGTGGAATATAAAAACAGTATCTCTGGTTCTGCTGCTTAGGTTTTTGATACCTTTTCTATGATTTAAATTGGTGCAGTACTCTTTTATCAATGATTCCTTATTACAGCAATAAATAACGGAATCCGGGCGGCTCTAAGTTGCAAACATAATTTGCAGGAGCTAAAAACAGTAAGTATAGAATGGCCTAAAATATTCAGAATTTAGCATTACGTAATCCCAAGTCTCTCATTAAAAAGTCAGACTGTGCACTTAGTACACTGTAGGAATGTAGCAGCTTCAGGCCAGAGGAGAGGGAATATTCCTGCACTCATTATGTTTGCATGGTTCAAATCTCTTGACATCTTGTCTGAAAACCAAACAACCACATTCCTGATGAAATTCATCCTGACGCATTGCCATAGACACATACACATGTACAGTAGCTATATCTATAGGCCCATAGAATGAACCCTGTGGTCACATCATGCAGCACTTACAAGGCTTTCTGTTCTTTGCTCCAGTTATGTCTAACTACTAGTGAGGGGGAAGTCCTGGTGTACTGCAGCTAAAAGCCAAGTCCCACCATGGTATAAATAATGAATACAGAATACCCATGCAGTCTATCTGCAAACTAGTTCAAAGGCATCCTGCTAGTCCATGCATGAAGCAACGACACACACAACTCTATGCTAATGGTCCTCAACTTTAGGGGCTGGACTGAGCTTACTGAGCCATGCAAATGTTCCAGTGCTGAGGATGAAGATGTCAGATGAGGAGGGTGTGATGAGGAGTCGCTCAAGAGTTTGTGGGGTGGGGGTTGGTGGTGGCTAGGAAAACAGTATGTAACCCCCCCCCCCCCCACGCATGCTCTCACAAACACACACACAAATCCGACACGGGAACTACTGGAAGCACAAGTCGTCCCAAGGGAAGCCTGGCAGTTTTATTGATGCTGAGTGATGCTAACGACCCCGCCAGCACAAAAGGACCAAGACGAGAGCATCGGGTGATGCGAATCACAAGACATCACACATCAGTAGCAGCCACTCGGTCCTATAACAGTTACTCTAATCAGGCCACAAGAATAATAAAATGCACCAGTATAGATAGACACCTTTCTCTCTTTTGCTTACTTTTCTCTCTTAAATTTTAACCTTGCTACAAAAACTAAATTATTTCTGCAGTGACCGTGAAATAAAATACGATTGCATGTGTTTATGCAAGTTACTAAAAATGTGTACTCATTTAGCCATTTTCCTGATTAGACTGAAAACAACAAAACAAAAGCCCTGGTTATCAGCAAAGGAAGCAGCCTTCTGCCTGTGAGCCCATCAAAGGAAAAATGTTTTTCTCTGCAAAAGCAGGCAACTTAAAGAGGAAAACTAAACGCCGCTGGGAATGTACTGTATGTTTCAGGCCGTCTTTCTTTTGTTTTTCTTATTTAATTCCCTGACTTTATCCCCTACCTCTGTTCTGTCTCTTTTGCGTTCACTCTGAAAGGATTTCCTCCAGCACTTCTGCCTTGATCCTCCAACCCTCATCTCTTAGAGGACTCTTTGCATTTAAATCCTTCATACCGCTGGTCTCTCAGTGTGACAGGACCCTGCAGGAATCCTATGGCGAATATTTCCCAGAATACCACAACAGCTACAAAAGAGATGTACCAACCACGAACCAGTTGGGCTGCAGGGAAATTCTTCAGGTTCTGAGAGGCATCCTCAGGTCAGTGTTCATATCTATTTAACTTACTGTTCAAGTTAAATTAACTTGAAGTTCTGGAAGAAGAGCTACTTAGGGGACCAGCTCTATCTCTCTACAGCATTGGAGTGTCTATTTTAATTAAAACAGAGCAAGTGTTTAATGTCATGCATGAATGGAGTCCACTACCTCTGCCTTGCCTCTGCTCTTACAAGCCATCACTGAACAGGAAATGGTCATTCGGAGACACTTGGTAGGACATTGGCCATTTACAAGTGAGAATAAGTTAGATCTTGAGTAGGAACATTAAGGTGATTATACGTGATCCTTGGCTGGCTCATTGTTTAGCACTGTCCCCTGACAGCATGAATGCTCGTGTGGAGTTTTTATTGTGTGTTTCTCCCTGTGTCTATGTGCAGTCAAGTATCCTGGTTAGTACATCCACATTGGAGAATTCAGCACCTTGCTTTTTACATGCAATGCCAATTTTAAGTGCCAACGCAGGAAGAAGGGAGCCATGTATGTAGCAAACCAGAAGTTAAGAGAGTGGAAGTTAAGGAAGTGGATGGGCGTGTAGCATGTCAAGCTTTAGTTTCCTCCCACAGTCCAAAGACAAGAAGTTTCGGTTAGCTGGTAACTTTAAATTGCTCTTATATTTGAATGTTCGTCTGTCCAGGATCTACCCTGCTTCTAACGCAATGCATGCTGGGATAGGGTCGATCAAAATTGATCAATGGATGGAACCTATCCTCCACAAAGATGTAGAAAGATTAACATCTCTTTAAATGTAAACAGCAGCTGGACAATTTGTTATAATAACCAGAATAATTTAACAACATTAATGTAATATTAAAAAAAAAAAGTGAAAAGTCTGTTTTCATACTCCACCCTTTCACCACTTGCTACTTGATAATATAAAACGAAGTGGATGTATGTCTAATTTGTAAAAACCCTACAGCAAAACTCAGACCTGCACCAACAACAGATGCTTCTTTTTAGGGTCAAACTATAATATTACGATCATATCTAATGACACAATGCCGGGTAAGGCAACAGAGAAGATTTCAGAGACACCAAACTGATTAAAAGAATAATATAATTCAGATTGTTTCACTGTCAGCAGGCATTGAATCTGATAGTTAGATTTCACATCATCTGATCACTTCATCTGATGTTCTTTATTTTTAATGGCATGTACTTTTGCAGTAAAGTTCTTTTCCAAAGAAGCAATTTTCAATTATTAAATACCAAGAACTGAAACTTGGTGGAAATTTGATTTTGCAAACCCTATTCAAATTAACCGATTAGTCAATAGCAATCAAATTATGAAATGCCTCCTTTATAGCATGTTACAGTATTTGAGTCCTCATCGTGTAGGCATAAATGTCAAATGTTCCTGTTCTCATTAATGTCTAATTAAGTTTTAGCTGCATTAATGTCATCACTTAAATCTAATAACTGACACACCTTTTAATTAAGAAATACCCCAATGGAAACAGGATTAGTTCCTCAACCATATGGTCTCTTAAGTTAAGACACAAGAATATGAATCCATTGTAAACAAACCTCTTTCCTTTACCATTACACAGTAAATTATAACCAAGATCCAATGGACAATAATGCAACAATTGATTCATGCTCCTACTCTTTACTACAATTTGAAGAAAATACACTAATATAAACAATTTTTGGAATAATTTGTGAAGAGTAACTCAGGCTGTCTCCATGTTTTGGCCAGGTGGAGAATACTGAGTCTTTCATCTGCATGTATGCTGCGCAGCAGTGAAACAGACCATTTTGTTTTGTTTCTGCATTATAAAATGACACAAAGCAAGATACTCTTCCCAAATGAACACTACTTAAATTTTTTTTGAAGCATAAATGCAATCACCAGAAGTAAAAAGCTAAAATTAGGCTATAAATGAAGTACACCTTGGTCACCTGACATCACGTCACCACCACTAAGCTTGAGGCGGACTGGTTTTCAGAGTAATGGCGGTTAGTAGTCTCATTTAGCCACTTTTTAGACACCGCCCATTTAAGACAGGTAAACAATGCAAAATTCACGAGAGGGGTATTTACTGACGTATTTTGTGTTGTAGTTAAAATCTCTTCTTCCAGACTTTATTTCAGACATCTCATGAAAAACCCATTCAAAAAACCTATCGACTCCAAGACGAGGGAACCACCTGTGCAAAAACGCTGACTCATTTTCAGGTTTTAGGACTCATTCCTTTACATAGTTTGGAAAACATAAAGTTGGTTTACAGATTCTGACAGCTGAAGACTGTGTTTTCAAAACAGTATAACATGAATATCTTCTATAAATAGACAATCTTTCACCGCAACATTTTGTAACTACAACACAAGGGTAGACTCGGTACCGGGTCCATCGGGCTCAAGGAGATAAAAGTAAAAACAGACTCCATTACCGATATGTCTCCTACTTATTGACTAAAAAGGTTCATTAAGAAAACCTGCAGTCAGTGAAATCAGCATATTGTTATCTGCCGTGAAAATTGGAAGGCTGGGGACAATTTCAATTAAGTTGAGGGCTAATTGCTTATCAGTCATTATCAAGGTGTATGACAGGGGAAATGAAGACACTGACCTCATCAAAGTGGGCCACCTCGTCACAGTTCTCTGCCACACGGCTGTAGAAGAACAGACCTGGAAAGTGAGAGGGAATATAAAGGTTAAAAACAGATAAATGGTTCATTAATAGCATTGCATTTGTTGTCATTTCAGTTTAAGACAGCACACACATCATGGGCAATATATCCAGCACAAGCTAAATCTATCTATCTTGTTTTTGTTTTTTTTATCTGCTTGCATAATGAGTCTGTGTCAGGTAGGTTGTCAGTCACAGTGTAATAAATACATGAATACAAAGTTTTGGCCAGAAACAGTTTGAACATTTTGAAGAAAATTGTGCTTTACGTGAGTATTTCCATTTTGTGCTACTTTACTTCTACTACATGTAGTACTTCAGATTATTTTCTTTACTTCTCTGTCTGTATGATAATCACTTGTCTTCTATGTTTTATAGGGTCATGTTTACAATATAAATAAAATGTAAAAATGAACCAAAATGATAAAAGTAAGACGTTGAATGCAGAATAATTCCTTGTAATAGAGTATTTTTATACTGTAGTTTTGGTACTTCTACTAAAGATAAGGATCAATTTGGTGAGAGATATTTATCAACATGCCTGTCAAAAATCGGTTTACATAAAAGACAAGTGAAAAGACAAATGAATGCCTTAAGTATCTGATAAACACTCAAATGAGACGGGCTGTGTGGAGCCAAAAGAAAAGAAAAGCAGACAATTGAATGGCTACATTATGACTCATTATGCCACAGCATAAAAACAAACGGAGAGAAAAAGACTTCAGCAGAGCAGAAATAACATATAGAAGTGAGATTATTGCCAATAATGAATACTTTCCACAAGATTAAATTATGGTGAAAACAATAATGTCTTGGTGCAGTGTGTATTTAAGGTTATAAACAGGGCAGAGAGCCATTCACTAGTTCATTATTGAACTGACTCACTCATGCGTGCTGCAGCCTATTTTCACCTGGTTGCTTTGTGATGCTCATGAATGGTGCCGGACTGCTCGCCGGAGTGCCGGACTGCTTTGTTGCGGTGGTTTGCTTTGTGTATCTGAGGCTTTGTGTGGGTGTTTGTTTGGGTGCATGTGGACAGCTGATTTGTACAGATCACACATTCATACATATCTACATATATAGTCACACACGCACAGGAACCTACAAAGCTGATTACAGCCTGTTATGCCTGTTTGGCTGGAATTATAATTTTGATTAGAAATTAAAAAAAGATTCTTTCTGGCTCCTATGATGCGTCATTGTCGTTTGTGCTGATTGATTTTTTTTCACACATTCACAGAGCAAACAAGCTCTGAGTTTAGATGGAGAAAAAAAGACACAAGGACATGCAAAAGCAAAACTTAAAGTATATTATGCTTAGAGTCCATTTTGACTCTAATTCATAACCACAATCTCTCTTTTCCATCACACCCCGCTCTCTACAACCTTGCAAAACCCCTTTCCTATGAAATATCTTTGAGAAAATAAACAGCACTTGTATGTGAGAGAGGGAAAGAGACAATATTCCTCCGACATTATTCAAAACAGAAGCATAATTGTCAGAACTGTGTTTTAATCTAACTGAGACGTGGGTTTAGAAAAGTAGATGAGTCTTATGTAAGATGCTCCACACCAAACTAAAAACAAAATTCTGCTAATCAGGGTGCCTTTTGGCCTTGGTGGAAACAGTGAGTAATAGAAACAGAGGGGCATTGAAAGAACCGACCTGTTGTGAAAGAAAGAAAGGAAACAGTGTACATTTTGATTATCGAGCAGACGGGGATGAAAAGATTAAAAGAGAAGGATGCAAAACACTGTGAAAGATTAATCTTTAGGGTAAACAGAACAACAACATTGTAGAATAGAAAATGAATGCATTTCTTCAATGTTTGGGATGCAATCAGTCTCCCTGCACACCTCATCTTTGTTGTTCCATACCGTGATTTCATTTTGTCTTATTTCCTGTACAATTTACAAGCCCAAAAAGAGACAGCAACCATACTAAATAAGTATCACAATTCAAACTTAAGACAAGGTAAATATCTGCTCCAGCAAAGGAGCAGATATTTACTGAAAAGCGCACTGAAAAGAGCACACTGAAAAGAGTTTCAGTGTGCTATGGAGAAGAAAGTGAATTTAATGATGTGTGTAAGATACCGCAGATAAAACAAAGCTTTGTTTCAACCCAGAAAATATTAAAGATTTAGAGTTAAAAGGATGACAAACAAAAAGAAAGAGTTGGGATGAAAGAAGCAAGCTGCAGTGGAATATCATAAGAGTGGAAATAAAGCTTTAATTTCTAAGATAACGCTGATGTACAGAGTGTGGGTGTGTGTGTGTGTGTGTGTGTGTGTGTGTGTGTGTGTGTGTATGATCCTGCAGGCTACTGTGCAGAGACCCAGCCAATAAGCAACAAGAGCTGGAGTGTCATTCTTTGATAAATCCAAGAGCTACAGATAACAGCAAGGATCCATCAAAGACTTGCCACAAAATCAATTAAGTTTTCACGCCTCCCCTTTGAAGCAGACTTCATAGCCCATGGTACGAGATAATAATGAACCATTTTGAGCCTGACCGGACGGGGAACTCTACAGTCTTTTTTTATTGCTATGTTTGTATTACACATTGAATGCTATCGATTGACTGATTTATGGCTTTTATTTTCTCAAAATATTGATGACGTTTGATTCTAGATGATGGGTGTTTCGGTTGCTTTCTCCGCCAAACATTACATGTGGAGTCAGCCTTACATAACATCGCTCCACCAGCCTTTAAGGGGTCATATATGGTTTGATATGTTCAGGGGGGGCTGGGACTTCCTGCCAGACCTCTTCCCCTCCAGACAGGAAGTTGTTTGAGGTGAAAGCACTTAGGAAGCCCGACTGCCAGGCTAACAGTCTGAAAACGTTCAAAAACCCACCACAATTTAAGAGACTGGGGAAGCAAGACTGATAGAAATACTGTGAGTAGAAGAAGAACTGACATATAATGTGAATCAGCATTAAGATCGGGGCATCATATAAATATTATTATGTCTTCAAAGAATGAAAGTCTTTGAGGGAAGAAGAAGTTTATTTACAAGATGTTTAAAATGATTCACTGTGTGGCATAGTAATGCAATTGCTCATGAAGACCTCAGCCTCCTTTAATATTTTAACTGGAAGATACATTTTCCTATAGCAAAATACTGAGCAATTACTCAATAAAAAAATGAGCCAGTATTCGTTTTAATAAAGCTAATTATATGGCGGGCACCGTGGTGATTCCGTGTACAGTGGGTTTGATCCCAGCTCTTATCTGTTGTTGCACTTCTCTCACTCATCCATCTTTCCTGTGATTCTCTGCACTCTCTTCTCTAGTCACCCACAATAGTCTAAATGAATAACACACACTCAACATCTGACCACTCAGATGAAGTGAGTTATTTCTCTCCTTTTCTAATTAAATCTCAACCCTCCACCAAAACGTTTTTACCTACAATTTGCTAAATAAAGACGTACTTTCATAATGCCTTAAAATATGATGTAACATAGATATCACAGGCGGGCCAACATGGAACATAGAGCCCCTACTTTTTGGATGTGGAAAGAAGATATTATTTGACCGGACAAAGGACAATGCCTGAAGATAACAATGTGACAAAGCAATTCAATAATATATATTTATGAGGCCCTACAGGAACTTGTGGCAGAGCAGAGGAGAGGAGCCACAGCTCGGCATACAGCACAGAGACGTAAACGTGCGTATATAGGCTACATTACCTTTACACTAAGGTCCTCACTATCACAGCTATTAAAAGCTGTGTTTCTCTCCATAACTAATGTGGATTTATAGGGGTTAACGACTATCAACATTTGTGGCCCTGTCCAGTTTAACTAAACAGGCATGCAGCCTATAGTGCATCTACTAGGTTTTTACAAACCTTTAATGGTAACCACTGTTTGCAAAGGAGATTACTGCTTTTTCTTTGGAAATATAGTACACGTTTGTTTGACACATAGGCCTAAGTGGAAATCAGTGAAAGCCACATGTGTCTTTATAGGCAGAATTTTAGCAATGACTGAATAAGATACAATAGGGCAGAAAATGGGGTAAAAAAAGCCACACACACACACATCGTTGCTTTGGCTAACAATTTAGAAAACAGATGAGATGCAGCTGCTGTGCTGACAGTTTGCCCACGGGGGAAGAGCTGACGACCTAATCCTTGACTTGGATGACACGGTTCATGTAATATCAAGACCCTGGTGAATTTTCTGCAGCACAACACTGAAAGCCATCTTCTATGCAGCTCACACACAGCCATGCACACACACACACACACACACACACACACACACACACACATAGCAGTGGAGAGAGGAAGATGGGGTGGTGGTCTTGTAACACCCCACACAAAACTGATGCTCTCAGCAGGAGTCTGATCAGAGATCAGGTGGGATTGAACGCCTGTCATCTGTCAGATAGTGGTCTGATCCATCCAAGGTGCTGAAACACATGCCTCTCTCTCTTCCTGACTCTGTTTCTCTCTCACAGGGAAAGAAACGTTTGATGAATGATGAATAAATCCACTGAACTCCCTCCAAATTCCCCTCCAATCCTACAGTGATCCCTCTCTCCTCTGAACAGAATAGGAGAGGCAGAGCAGATCAGGTGTTAGGCTGATGACCCCACAGGAGTTATAAAACGCCAAAGGACCAGTGGATTGGAAATTGTCCGAAGGTATGAAGGAGTCGGCCACCTCCAACATCTTCTTCAGTCATCAATGCCACCAACATAGTCAATTGTAATACAGTGGCTTCTTGCCCTTATTGGTGTAGGAGTAAAATGACCTATGCACATGATAAATCCCTGTAAGGACACTATATGATGTACAGACAGTTACACATTGATTTTGCTTTTTGTGCTATAATGAATCATTTACATTGTAATAATTCATAAGAGAAGTCCATGTCCTGACAGTTGGGAAAAAACTGGATATAACAGCTGTGATGAAACATCATTAATTACCATTAACAAGAGTGTAAACATCTTATGTCAACTGTAGTTTGTTTCTATAGTACTTTTAAGCATTTAGACATGCATGATCTAAATATGAGAGGGGAGTATACCGAATTATTATATAACAAGTGCAAAATAATGAAATAAACTTAGGGGTTGGATTTTGGGTATATCATTTCAAATCGCATGATGAGTTAGTTTTTCGGATTGCTGTACTCTCTTTCTTTTCTAATTTTAAGATCAGTGCAGTTTCCATCTTTGGAAGCGCATGAATGGCAGATGAATCAGAGCGCAGCGCGTGTCCGATGGCCACCTATCCAGAAGGGGTTTCCCCAACTTTTCACGCAACCGGGACAGCTGATTATCCCCCATCACGTCGTCAAACAAAACAAAAAAAATCTGGCTGTATCAATTTCACAACATACAGGCTAGAACTCAGAAACGTTGTCCTACCTCTGAATGTAACTTTGGCGATCCTGTCACCTTTCCCCCGAAGGTGAGCGGCCGTCTTCAGGTGAACCATTAGAGCCATCATTAGTCCACACTGGTCAGAGGAGTAATTTTACCCCACACGCAAAAAAAAACAACTTGATCCGGTTTGGTGCAATCTGTGTTTAACGATCTTTAGGTGATCCTCTCCTTGCGCCTGGACACATTAATTGTTTTCCACACGGGCAGCATGTAGAATGATGTGGTTTTTTCAAACAAACAGAAACAAAAATAGCGAATTAATGATATGCTCCTGTTAACATTTCCTCTCGCTCCGTGCTCCGTGGCCGCTGGGTCTGTCGCGCATCTCCGCGCTGCCACTTGGTTTTACTCTGCTCGTCGTGCAGGAAGGGTGGGGGTGTGCTTCATCTTCAGCGTGGGGTTGGATGCTGGATGCTCTAATTGTAAAAAGCTCAAGCTCTGGGATTTGAGGAAAATCCACTGCTTCCTTTTTTTCTGGGAGTAAAAGTCTTTTATAGTCATAATTAGCCTACTGTAATTCATACCAGATTTAATATGAATTATCTTCTCCGCAGACTGCCTGGTCAGTTAGAAAAGAGTCTTGGATTGATTTAGATATTTACAAAGGATAGACTATTCCAGCAAGACACAGAGTGTAATTTTTACAGAAAAGGTATTTAAATGTTTTATGAAATAGTTTAGATAGTTATGACATGCTAATGCTTGTCATAAATAATGACATGTCTCATTTAATATTGCTGTTAAGACTGAATTTAAAATGATCATTAGGTTTCATAAACTTCCTGTTTTGTAGGATACAATCTTATTCTTTAGGCCCGTTGTAAAATACAGTTGCTAGGCAACTTCTTTTCCCTCCTTTTTATGGATAAATTAAGGTCAGGGTCCCATGAGCTTGGCCAGTTGGTCCCTGTCTGATGCTGGGCCATGTTGCCATGTTGTACCTGCTGGCTGTAATTCATGTATCTGTTACAAGGAAAGACCAGCAGGTAGGCAGCTGTGCCAAGAGTTTTCAAAACAGAGTCCAGGTACCCGGTGGGTCCTGAGAGGGTTCCCCAGGTAGAAAATGATCACTGGTTCACCAGATGCTACAACTAAAAAGACATTTAAAATACCAACGCCCTCCCAGAGCACTGGTGCATTTGCATTTTCCATGTGTGGTAGTACTTAACATGAACACCTGCCCTTTTTGAAATATGCAACAAGATTAGTGTAAGAAAAAACAGTATGCAAATCCTCAAGTAGTACAGAATTTCACCTCATAGCATATGACAAGTATAAAATGATAAACTGCGCTGGGACTTTATTTAGAATTGCCACTAGGAGTAGTTGCACTAGTGGCAGCAGGAGCCCTTCTGACAGAAATGTGATTTTTCCGAGCAGGCAAAGGGACAAAACCGGGCTATCAGCACCGCTTATTGGTCCTGCCAAGATATAGAACTGCCTGTCAGATAAAAATCAAATTATCTGCTCACACAAAACTGCATATACCGTGTGACACTGTAGTCTATCACTTTGACATGTATATTCGACAAGCGTGTCACTGGGGTTTCCATTATTTTGCACTCCCTCTTTGACATAAATGGGGTGGACAAAATAACAGAAAATAGCAGTACGGTATAACACAATACAGCGCAACAGCACCACAAACTGCATCACCCAAAATTATCATATATTTGAATCAACATAGTTGAACAGTTTCAACAACAAAAATTGAACATCAAAACCTCCATGAATGTAGGATTTAATACAGGACTGTTGTATTAGACTACATTGGTTTGAGCTATGGATACTGAGTGCTCGTCTAAAGAACATTAAGATGCAGTTTTCCCCCCAAAGCTCGGTGTTACTGAACCTCTATTTTTAGTTGCTGTCTAAGACAGTTAATTAGATGTTTTTTTCTTTATCTCGACTCTTCCAGAAAATAAGGGAAACATACAAAACAATTGTGGAATGACAAAGCTGATTCAGCGTTTAATCATCTCTGTATATGAGATACTCCAAAGGAGTAAGACAAGATAAAATATACGTCGCTCTCTCCAAGGGGGAAACTTTGTGCAATAGTGCTGCAATCAGCTTAAAACAATATATAGCCAACAATGCATTACAGTTATAGTAGAACCAACAAATGTGACAGACTTCATGTATGTTACGAGAGAATGGTTAGACTAACCGCCTAATGTAACACTTTTGGTATACACAAATGACAAAAGAGATCAAGTAAAATAGCTGATAGAACTGGAACACAACACTCTATTCATATAACTCAGCTAGACATGCAGTCCAACTTGATACAGTATATCAGCAGAGATGAACCATTTCATCACAAGCATCATGTCAACTCACTTGGGGGAATTATAGCATGGACTTGACATAAATCACCTCAGGCATGCATATAACAAGATTGGACACCTTGTACTTTGTATACTGTGCCGACTGAAGCCTGAGGAGCCACCCAACCCTCAACCCTCCCCCCTCTGTGTGTGTGTGCGAATGAATGACAGTGTCTGTGCGCATTTAGCAGGTTTGCTAGGAGGGAGTGGAAGACACAACTATCTGCTTCGATAAGATTTTTTTTCATTTACATTACATTACAGTCATTTAGCAGACGCTTTTATCCAAAGCGACTTACAATTCAGATTCTATCACATTTCTATACCGTAGGTACAACTACGGGAGCAATTTGGGGTTAAGTGTCTTGCTCAAGGACACATCGACATGCGACTAGCAGAGCTGGAGCCGGGGATTGAACCGCCGACCCTCTGATTGAAAGATAGATCATTAGCCACAGTCGCCCACACAGTTTAAAAATATATTCCATTTTGTGCTGACTCATGCACTATTGCAAGCCGCTGCAGTAGTGTGTGTTTGTGTCAGAGAGAGAGAGAGAGAGAGAGAGAGAGAGAGGGAGAGGGGGGGGCTTCAAGAGGCTCAATCAGCACTAGTAATTAGTTTATGATGTTGTGGTTTAAAGGGCAGAGACAACATATAAAAGACAAACTGCTGTTACTTTACTGGCCCCTGGGGGCCCCAGCGATGCGAACTGACACTTGTATTGATTTTGTGGCAAATCTGGCCCCTTTTCTCTCTAACAAATCCAAAACAGCCTGAAGAGATTGAGTCGTCTGCAGTAGTTTTTACAGAGCAGCTACTGTGTGGTGAAAACCTGCTGCTATATTTAAGCCCCGATTTCCTGTCTGACCTCCTCAGAATCTGGTTTTAGAGGCAATGAATAAGTGACCGTTGACATCTTATCCCCAGTTGTAGATAAAAGCTCTAACCAACAGAGGGACATGTTGGTCTGGATTAAAGCCACCTACAGACAAGCGATCAAAGCTGTCTTCTGTCACTTGATGTTGCGTGATGAGCCCATGCACTGACTTTGATAGATAGATCATTAACAATAAAAAGACAATTGCTTAGCATATTCATGCAAATTATGTCAGTATGAATTCCTGATAGATTAACCCCTGGGCTATGAGACACTGTGAAAAAAGAATAGATTAAATAATTGCCCTTCTGTAAATTTGCTGCTGGTCGTTTAGTTATAAAGTCCAAGGAATGTATTGTAAACATTAAGAGCTCTGACATGCAGAACGTGCTATATGGTGTCCAGTGATGCGGAAAACTCTTGACTTTAGTGTGATAGTAATGGGAAAAATGATGAAGATAAAGAGATGTTTAATTCGAATGTATAATTATCACCACCGTACAGCTATAAATCGGGCACATCACAGATGTTTATCTTTAACAGAAGCAAAGCATCGTGTGCATTATCTGCCACATTGTTCTTAGAATCATTGGAGCACAAACAAGTAATACACAAATTGACTATCCTTTACAACACGTTCAGTCATTTTAATCACATTTATACCGAGGAAATTTGAGATGAAACTTCAACTCTGCTGCTGCTGAATATCACCAGTTGTAATCACAATCGTACCTTCATTGCACACCGGCTGTACCAAAGCCAATATTTAAAAACGTGTCTTGTTGCTCCATCTGGTGGTGGAGTGACTTCTTTGGAAAGTAATTGTGCGCACACAGATTCGATAACGTGATGGAGTCTTGGCCCACAGTCCTGTTCTAACACCTGGTGAAGCGATGATGTCATGGAAATGTTTGATCCTGCAGTGGTTCAGGTCTGCAAGAATGAGGCTGGAACAGAACAGGTGCAACTAGACTGCTTGCCTAAAGGTTTTTAATATAAGCAACAATACTGCACCTACCTTAAAAAACAACATTCCTGTAGTTTAAAAAAAGAAAAAACACACATTCCTAAACATTATCAGGAAAAGGTGGTTTGAGCTCAAAAAAGAAAAGAGCACTATAGTGGAGATATAATGTTCATAAACCTCAGATCTGAATAATTCTGTCACTAATTAGTGGTTTTGGAATACAAGCAGTGGTGCTCCCTGAAGAGGGAGACATTTTATTAAAAAGTGTCTTTGATTGCATGAAGAGCTAAAAAGAATTGTTACTGAATAAAACATTGTATTTGCATTAATTAAAATCACGAGCACATGTGTCTTCATTCACGTTGTTTTTCTTTGTTTTTGTTTTTTTCCCTCTTTTTTGAAAACTTTTTGCTGAAATAGAACAGCCGAGAGTTCACGATGAGAAGCCTGCCGCCGCATCAGCAGAGGGGAGGGGAGGGAGAGCTGGAGTGTCCCAGCCCTCTGCATCCAGCTGGTGCGTCGCTCCGTAGCAGTAGCGCGCCACTCTCAATATGGCTTTAGCCGCAAGCAGGACGCTCTTGGCGCTAATCGTTACGTTTTGCGCACCAGGATGCGGATGGGCAGGTAATAGATTTGTATACTTAATTAAAAAAACAAAAACAAGTGCATGTTTTAAACTAATATGTTATTCAGCTTGATCACTGCTGAGGCAATGTTGCTTTCTCCTTGTGTGGTTAAATGTTCAAATTGGATCGATCTTACAGCTGACGTTTGCCATTGACCAGTTTTAGCTGCAATCTGCGAGTTTAGTGCATTAAAATGTAATGACTTTTTTTAAAACTCAGAATGCTAATGTTATTATTTGGAAAGGAAAGAAACATGTTGAAGTGCGCGCGTGCACATCCATTTCTGTGTGCGTGGGGCATAAACATTTCCCCAGTTGCTGCAAATGTAATTTAAAAAAAAAACGAAATAGTTTGAATGTCGCCATTTAGAATGCACTGACCTATTTAATTTAGAGTTTTTGGTTTATCATTTACAGTTGTGAAAGAGTTAGTTTGAGTGAGCAACTTTAGCAGATGAGGACTTTGACAGTATTTTCACTCTTGTTTCTTAATGGGGGGAAAATATGATGCTGGCAGCTGGCCTCTTAGCAGCAGTCATGGAACAAGTCCTTACCTCATACTGTAGGCACGTGCTGGAGGAGCTGTGATCAACAATTAGAACATCGTGATAAATATCAGGCTGCATCATTGTGCTTTCTGCTGAGGGGTATCATGCCAAATGTGTGGCTGATAAATGACCTGCCTGTAAAATTAATTTTCATGGGAGAGTAGAAGTGGTTGGATGCTTAAGTTTTCTTTCTGTCACGGGTCCTCTGGACAGAGTTGCATATCAATCAGCAGCTATTAGAAATGAGTGAGACATTTTCCTTATAGCACAATGATTAAAAGTGATTCCACAGAGACCGCAGCACACATGTTTTAAAGTTTCTTAAGTACCGTTTGCAAAATCAATTTTCAGGAGAAGACGCCCACATCCTCCAGACAGTCGAAATATCAAAAGTGCCATATGGCCTGATCAGTTTTGGAGGGCAGAGAGCCAATCGTTTTCACTGAGTTTAAAAGCCACGTTTCAGCCAGCCCTTTCATTTTTTTTCTCCCTGTTTTCTTCAACATACTCAGTCCACATATATTGTCAGTTGATCTGTAAGTTTCTATATGTCTCCTTCTCAACTGTAAGCATGAGTGCTTACAATAGCATGCTGCTATTTGTTGTGGTCTTTTCCTCTGCGTCGTTTTCTTTTCCATCTTTTAGGAAGTATTTTCAGAGCGGTCATGCACTTTCTCTGCAACACACTGCTTCTCATTCCTTCACTTACATACATTCACACCTGGGAGCTACTCAATACAAACACAGTTCACTGCTGCGGGCCACTGAGCAGTTTTGCTGTTAAATGTCTTCCTCTCGGGTGTTTTGACAGTAGTCAAGGGAGAGGAGTGTTACTCATTAACTTTCTCCTCTTACACGTCATCAGCTTGTCAGTCTAAACTTCTTTACAAAAGTGGATGAAATTGGGTATGGGGATATCTGGACTCCTAGGCGGCAACAGTGCAAATAGAGAGAAAAGAAAGTTTATTTGGCAAATAAATAATGTCACTTCTTCCATGCAGCCACAGTCCATCAGCATCTGAGTGTAGAGAGTAATTGGGACTGAGAGTGAAGGGAAAAGAGGGAATCATGTCTTTGCAGGCCAGTGGAATTTAATTTTTTTGCTCCACTTAACATGCTGGAATTCTGCAGGAGCTCGCGGTGACAGATCTTATAACGTTTAGGATCAGGAACTTCATAACTTTGTATTGGGAAAATATGACGCAGATCTAATATTCCTCATATTTTCCGCAATACTGGGTATGTCTGATCACCTGACATGGCCTGACCCAGTACCCCCCACCCACCTGCAACTTGGCTGCCTGTCAAACCTGCCAGTGATGGCGTGTCTCGTGTCATGATGTCATCTCTAGTGCGGTTCCAGTTGTTTAAACAAGTTTCACCTGGGCCATGAGCACACCTGTCACAGCACACTACATGTCAGCATACCAAGAGTTTTTCAGGGAGATATAGCATAAATCAACAGTGTAAGATGTCAGTCCTCATCAGAGACGGAACATTTGAAACGTTTGGGAAGTCTGTTGGTTCAAGCTTTTGACCACCAACACTAAAATGCAAGGTATGTTTTTAGACTGTTGTTGTTCTGGTCGGCTTCTGTTGGTAAATGTCACATGTCATGTCGTGTATGTATGCATGTAACCCTCCCAAGTTAAACAATTAGTCACTTTAGGTTGTTGCTCCAAATAAAATATCAAAAGCTTGCCAGGGGCTGCAGAGTTCTTTATAGCACCTCTGTCAGCCTCCCTCTGACCTCTGACCTGGTGACTTCGGTCTTGTTTCTTAGAACTTACAGAATGGACCGTCTTAGCTTGACATTGCAACACTTCCTTGCCAACCCGTCCACACACCTCCTTCAACACACACAGCTTCACTGCCGATCCTGATGGTAGTTTGTGAAAGAAGACAGTTATTAGGAGTTAATGTTAAAACACATTAGGGGTGAGCCGGGGGTCAGAGTCTGTGTGCGATATGAGAGGGTTCACTTGTAAAAGTGGAGCACATTGCAAGTATTTTGTGGAGTCCTTTGACCTCGGGGCTTACCTGCATATGTTACTTGTACCAAACTACACATACACATACACGTGTGTCTGTCTGTCTGTCTCACTCTCTTTTTAACACTATTTTTTATTTAAAAAAAGACAATGGCCCTCAGGCCCTGCCCTGATTCTTTACATACTTAATACTTTCCAATGTCTAACTCAAACACACTCTGTCCATCTTTTAATGTTATATTATTGCCCAAGTTTCCCATGGCAACGCTCTAAAAACAAGCCTCCCTCTGTGAGATTATGTTGTTACAACAGCTCAGTTGCTTAACTGCTTCCCAAACTGTTTATTCTTGGATAGCAATCATGCATCTGCTGTGCTCGAAGGAGTCTTGATTTAATCAGAAATATCTGTTTTGCCCTTGGATCATCAAATTTCCAGAGAGGCAAAATCACAGAATGATGTCTGGACAGAGGAGCAGATCCCTTCCTACGTAAGGCATGTTCTTATTGGAAACAGGCTCGGAGCGATTGAAGTTTGTCCAGACTTGTGTCAATGGAGTCTGCCACTAACAGCTGATAAAATTGACCCCACTATAACCTGGCATTAATGAGGATACAATAAGGAGAGATTGTGTTTGGTTTTGGGAAACCCTCTCACACACCTTTATGCACTCTGGCACAATGCGATGTAAGTCTGCAGACAACACCTGCAGACAACAAGAATTCGAAGTGATAAAGTCATTTTGTGACGACGCTAAACTGAAACGGCTACTATAATCATTTGGGGAGCATCGGCAGACAGTCACAAGGACCAGCTGTTTATGATGCGGCCAGACAACCCTTGCAATTATTTGTGACAGCGATAAATGACCAGCTTGCCAATAAACCCTGAACTACATGATCACAAGTCTCTGCTCTTCTCCTCAGCTCTTTGGAGCACTTTAGTATTATTCATTTCATCCTTTGGTCCAAAACAATACCTTCAACGCTCTCATTAGCACCTTTTCAGCTGCTATTTTCAGCAAAACAAAAGCTCTGATAAACCGACCGTACGCTACCTGCCCAGCACAAAAAAGCACACAGGAACATAAGTTAGCCTCTTGCTTTTAGACGTAATGTTACATTTAGCTGGAACAGAGTCAGATGTTCCCCCAGGAGTCAGTGGAGACCATAAAAGCAGAGCTAAATGAAGGTGAATATTGGATTTACTTCCAGCAGGAGAATATAAACAAGGCTCTAAATGAATGCCAATGTTACCCGTATTTCACATTATATATGTTAATAGACAACGATTTTCTAACATGCTGCCATAAATTAAGCTATAAAATCTGTCTTGTACTGGTTGATTGGCATTGACCAATCAGATTCATGCTGATGTACTGTCAATATTATTTGTCACTTAATCATGGGTTACTGTTATACCAACACTATTTGCTGCCGCAGCTCCGTGCACCACCCTAACCTCCTTCTTGTGCTATTAATTAATGCTATTAATCAGTTCTCCCAGCAGAATCATTATAACAGCATCTCTAACTGTATAACCATCTGCTAAAAATTGTCAATTCTTTGACTTTGAAGAGAGCAAGACAATGAAATTCACATATATTAATAATGGGTATTATGTGTGTCAGGGTTGTAAACAAGTATGTGTCAGAGTTTTTACAAATGTCCCCTTACTTATGTTGAGTCAGCTGAGTTTTCGAGGTTTTAGCATCCATGCCAGCTCTCGGGCACGAGGCCATTATTTTGCAAACCAAAAGAAGAGCAAAGAGGCAGTTGCTGTCCAAATCAAAGTGGTGTTACTATTTTCTTTGTTTTGTTTCGAGTCAATCTAGCCAAGAGAGAGACTGAAGATTGCCTATTGTCCTGAGCCTTTAGCCATCCGAGCAAATCCTCATATATTCATTTAACTATCAAAATAGTTTGTATTTTTCAGGGCCGCTTTACAAGTAAGTTTCTGCTTCATCAGAATCAGAGTTACTTTAAATGCCAAGTATAATAAATACAGAGGAAATTGTAATGGTGGCATGAAAGAAGCGGTTTATTAACCAGCTTACTGAGCTTGAAAATAGAACCACGTGCTGCTACAATGTGTTGGGGCTGCAAGCCTTTACAATAAGGGATAAAGACGGAGGACTGTTAAAATAAACTTTACACAGACTCAATTGATCCTGACGTCATTTGTTTTGCAGCAGAGAAGCCCCTGCGGTCACAAAATGGGAAACAGACATCTGTGGATAAGGGTCTGAGGGAGAGGTGGGAGCCTTCAATTCATCTAGATGGAAGACCTGTGGACCGCTTCGTCATCAGCTCCAACAAACCCACGAGGTCTCACCGCTTCACGAAAGGAAAGGACAGTCGCTCGCATCTACTGGAGGATGTAGGTAAGGCAGAAACATGGAGAAAGTTAAAAAGACAGGGTGAGAGCAAGACAAAGATGAGAGACATGTTTCTGACGATGTTTGAGGTGTGACGTGAACAAATCAAGTGGGAGCTGATGTCGTACTGCTAACCAAAAAAGCAATTAAGAGGAAAACAAATGCATGGAGAGCAAAAAAATGAGGTTTGGCTTAAACTATGGAGTAATTGTTCAGATCCCCGAGTTCTGCACTTTCTCAAGACAAGTGCCAAGACTAAGGAGGGAGATGAGCAAAGCTGTGTACAAAGCAGAGATGCCGGGAGGTAAAGAGTACGCACACGCACGCATGTGCATGTACTATTGATTTTTATTACAGGATTACATCATCATTGGATGTGTTGTCATCCAAATTTGCCAGACAGAAAGAAAGAGCACTTGGGGGTGGTGGTGTGCGTGTCTGGCGATCATCATTCCGGCTGTGCAGACAGCGATTATTTTAAGCTTAAGAAGGACATTATTTTTAGGTCTTAACGGCTCCTTTATTCCTAATCCTGCCTTGTAAAACAGTTGTTTCTATACAGTTTGCAGTGTTGACACAGTCTAGCCTGCATTTGTCAGTATTCCATTTTCCTCTGTCCTTGGCATCTTAAAGCCATACTTCATCAGCAGCTCAGAGCAGTCTGCAGCCAACCCTTGTTTTCCACATCCAAACCCAGCTCAGCTCCTTTAACCCAATCCCCTCTGTTGTGGTCACTCGCTGTGTGTTTGACATGAGTATGTTTGGTGGTGATTGTGGTAGAGAATATGGGTGGAAGTGTTGACTCATGCATTGTCTTGTACGGTGTGTCAGTCAATTCAAATAAGCATCTAGATACTTTTGTTTTTATGTGAGTGTGTGTGCTTGTGGTCTCTCCATCTCTGGCGCAGTTTGCCATAACGCTCTTGCGACCGAGCAGCAACGCCTCTGTGTTGCCTTTCCAGAAATTCCTTGCAGATTGAATGTTGTTCCCTCAGCAGCATGAGAGCAGCATCAGTATTCATAAATAACACCATGCTGTTTTGCCTCCATGTCGTTAATGTAACTGGCCATCCGCTGTTACATTAAAACAACAAAATGGAGACATGACTTACCAGGAACAACATGGGGCGAGAGGGGAGAGAATCACAAACATTTAAAGTTGACCACAAAAAATAAAAATAAAATGTTCACTTGAATACGTCTTCATCAGGTTGAAATTATTCTTTAAATCGGAGTTTATTTTTACATTTGTATAATGTACGGCTTGCTTACCAAGTTTCTATCGACAACATCATTTAACATTTTTTTGTTTTATTTTTTAGACCCTGAATGGGTTAACCTGGATGGCTTTGCTGTGTTGGGCGGTGCACCTGTCAGGAACTCATCAGCAGGTAAACTTTGATCTCAAGCCCTCTTTACCAACATTACATAGGAGTGGTTTGTCCGTTTTTCTTGCTGGCGATCCAAATTTTACTTTTAAGATTTATTTTGCCTTTAGTATTGAAGGTAATTTTAATTATCACATATTCATGGTCACTGCTTTCAACAGACTGTAAAATGCAGAGAAATTAGTAGCAGACAAAATTGCTTACCCTGATTATCCATATAGTGAAGGGTGTTGACATATTTTTGTGCACATGTGCACAGTCAATTATTTTAATTAATCAAGCAATAGAAAATTAACCACCAAGCAAGTTTTCAATTGTGGAAATTGTTTTGATTTTTTCCATTTTATATTAAATTGAATAACTATTTCATCTTTTTAGAGACAATTAAAAAGTATTCTCATTGGAGTGAAACACACTGAATTAAGCTAAGCTGAACCTAAGCTTCATACTAGACTTTTAGTCAATTATGACGTCATTTGTTTATTTCTGTGTGGTTTAATGGACATAGTAATTTGGACATTTAAGTATATGTCATGTAAACACTTACTAGTCTATCACAGGATGACACAAATAAACACTTGTGTTCGTACTGTTCCACATGGACAATTTAGTCTTGCACATGGACAATTTAGTCTCTCCAAACCACTTGAATTGGCAAGTTTTTGGGCGGCGGTGGGGAACATAGAGAAAACCCATCAGATTCCAGACTGAAAGCATCAGGACCAGCAATTGAACCCAGGACCTTCTTGCTGCGAGGCGACAGTGGTAACCACTGAACCACCGTGCCACTCTGGATTTTCAGTTGTATTTGTTTGAGGCAGAGCCGCTCTGGAGACACAGCTAATCATATTTGTTGAGTTTAACCTCAGTGACTGGAGCCAAAGACCCACTGTGTTTCTGGCAAAGTAATTCTAGAATAACGCCCAGTGAAAAGGAAAGGGCAAAAGAAGACATAACGTGTTATGAAGCCTTGCTAGCACATTAGCTTAAGTTATCTAGCAAGCTACCGGCTAATGTTAATCCCTGTTAACGTTTATCGTCAGACTAGCAAATATATATACATATTTATATATATTTATGTATGTATATATACGTATATATACACATACGTATATATATAAATCGCCATTGGTTTGCCAGTTAGCTAGCTAACTGTCTTAGTCAGATGAGACTTATTCCTGCCTCCAATGACGTTCAGCCACTGCAAGTTGTTTGTAATAATTAAATTGTGGCTAAACTGAGCAAAGTAACCAATCTCACTAATTTATTTTTGCAAAGTTTAGATTTGCTTTTGAAGCTGGTGAAATGTCAAAGATGGTGGATAAAAACCTTGCTTTCTTCAGCTGTAAGCACACACATTCTTTAGCATCCGCCTGAACACACTGAGGTGGGTCTCCGCTGTAGCAGTGGTATGTCTGTCTGCCTGGAGGCCAGCCTCACAGCACCTCCGACCATCGAGCTTCCAGGAAAAGAAAGAAAGGATTTGGCAACTGTGAGCACTGCGGAGTCAATGGTTTAGTGGTCTGCGGCATGGTCACCGGGGCCAAACTATGCACTGTGACAGCTTTCCAGAGAGAGAAAAAGAGGAAGAAGAAAATAAGGAAAAGGAGATTTAGGCTGATTAAAACCAAATGTTTTCTTATTTAAGTCAGATAGTACAAGGAGAGACGGTCAAACAGGTACAGTGGATATGAGAAAGAGGATTGGGTCATTTTATTGCTTTCACAGTGTTGCCTCAGTAACAGTCAAAAATGTCTTTGACTGATAATATAATAAACACAAAGTTTGCAAGTTTCAAGTTCCTGAATCTTGAGTTTCTACATTTATTTCCAGGTCATTTTAAAATGATTGGAAAAAAATGGCACTCCGGAAATACACAATTGAATTTTAAGAAATTAAGATTTAAAAGCAAGCATGCAAGCAAAACACTAAAGCCACTGTCAACAGTAAGTAGGATATGTGATTTGTAGTAAATGAAATAAAACTGGCAACAAGAATGGCTTGATCCTGTTACGTTGAAGTTGAAGTTTAACTGGCCCCCAATATGAAGGTAAATTTAATTAACTCAGGTTAAATCCACATCTTCAGAACCTCTTTGTGTCATGTTTGTATTCCCCACATACACGGTGTCGTGGTGGAAGTCCACCAACACTAAAACTCCACCTCTCTCACTTTTTAAGCCATAGCTGAAGAAAACTTTTTGGGTGTGGTGGCCTGTTGGAAAACTTTTCACAGTTGGCCCACCCTACCTGTTTGTTCTCTTTCTTTCTGTCTTGCAAAGGAAAACCACATCAAAGCATTTTTTTCGTCCTTATAACCACTTTTAATTTCGTCAAATCCATTTTCTTACATGAGCTGACCTATAGCAGTACTTACCGAGGCTGTGCTTGCAGCTATTCTGATGGGAAACTGGGCAGATCCTTCTCATCTGACAGTGATTATGAGAAACAGATGATGGAGGAGGAAAGAAAGAAGAGTTTTTATTGTTTTATGCCAATGCTATCGCTCAACACTGCAGCCAGATGAGGGGGATTGTCTGGCTGTCTGAGTCAATGTCCGAGTCTTTATTGAAGATGGAGTCACTAATAGGAAGTAGGACAAGTTGGAGCAGATAACAGGGGACATGGTGCTGTTCTGCGGCATGTCTCTTGTGTGACAACTGGGCATGTAAACTGACACTGTTGGATGAAAGTGAAATGTAATTCTGTGTTTATCACTGTGCGGATGTGTCTTGAGTGGAGCAATTATATTCAATGAATTTTTCCATGGCAGTTAGATTCAACAAGACCCCAAAGACAAATCCGGCACAGATCACAGATTATGATTGAACTACGGGGTCATAAAGGTAACATGAACTCTGGTGCCCTCTGACTTTTGCCCTCCATTATCATCCACCAACAGGTCAAGCCAGGTCTCCACAAACTGCTGCCAGAAATCAGCTTCCATTACAGCGGGCCACCAGGGTGAACAGAACAGCCCACCCATTGGGAGTGTCTAATACCAGGACACACAGGAGGGCCCCTCAGTCCTCCTCAGGTCCCAGGCAGCCTGAGAGAGCTCTGCCAGGAGCTCCCCCGCTGGAAAGGAGACGCCAACACCACACCAAGCCTCAATCTGACCAGAGAAACCGAAACACACCAAAACTAAGTAAGGGGACTCACATTCTACACCCTTAATCACCAGATTGAAGAGCAAAGCTTTCAGTTCAAGTAAAATATGAGGCTGAAAAGACTGGCAGATTCCAAACTACATTTTGCAGATATTGTCATTAAATGTATAAATCTTTAGTGTGCATAGTGTAAACCCTGGCCGTGCCTGGTATCCCTTTCTATTCATAGCATCTGAGTCCGTTCATGTGGTGTCACTGCAGGCACAGAAAGCCCCGGGCCAGAGCGCAGCCGCCAACAGAGCAGTCGCAACCAAAAGAACTACACCAGGTACTTGCAGGTTTACAGAGAATCACTGCATTCCTCTACACATTTATCTGTCTTATTTGCATTATAAATATCTCAAAATACCTCATCAATATCTATGTAGTTGCATGATTTTTGTTTGTCACATTGGCATAAATGTGAGAACCACAGGCCATCCAATACCACATTTAATGACCTTAGGGGTGATTTTAATATTGGTTTGGAGCTCGACATTTTTGTCTTTACGTCTTTGTTTGTGTCTATGTCTGTTGTCCAGAGCCACCGGAGTACGAGGCCCAGGACATCGGTGTCAGGGTCATGTCTCCTCAGTCAGTCCTCATCTCCTGGCTTGATCCTGCTGTTGAGATGGGAAAGGTCGGCCCTGGGGTAATCAGGTGGGGATCTGTTGAAGTGTGTGTGAAAGAAAGTGAATTAATAAAAAAGATTGACTGAGTAAGAGAGAGCACTTGACCTTCCACTGGAGTAAAACATCCCTCTTTTTTCTTAACCCAGATCCTACACAATTAGGTACAGGGAGAAGGGCGAGTCAGCACGCTGGGAGTACAAGGACAGCCACCAGAGGAGGATGATGATAGACACCCTGTCTGCTGACGGCATGTATGAGTTCTCTGTCCGAATCTCTCAGGGAGAAAATCATGGAAAGTGGAGCGTCTCTGTCTTTCAAAGGACCCCTGAGTCAGGTACGCACATGCAGCCACTGCCTGCCGAGAACAGCTTATTGAATATAATTTTGTAGGTCAACTTAGGAAAAGTGATGAGTTGTGAGTCAAAAGCAAAAGCTATAGAAAGTCAAATTCCAGCATTTTCCCTAGAATATAAAAAGATAATTTATTCTTGTGGAAAAAAATTCAATGTTGCAAACTGCCTATTTGATATTTGATTCCAGCTTTGGCTGCAGCTCTGTCATGGTTGCAGCTTTTAAACCATGCCATAGCAGATCCTGAGCTGCGGTTCATTGGAATGTTAGCATTTACTGCCTGGCTAACAGCTTAGATATCAATCCGTAGTTCCATTCATAATCTCAAAGGAAGGTTCCTGACAACATATGGCAACAGTACTTCTCTCAGTTGAAGCCTCTTGGCACAAACTCACTGTTTTTACATTCTTTAAGCAGCAATTTCCTCACCCTATTCCCTCTATTCTGCTTCTGGTTTCTGTCCTGCTGCTCCCCTTCTCACTGCTGTCTTGACATTCACTTGTTTTCCTCACTTGCTAGCGCCATCTGGGCCACCAGAGAACTTTGAGGTCAAGCCACTACGAGGAAAAGGAACTGCTGTCATAGCAACATGGGATCCACCTGAAGAACCCAATGGGAGGATAAGAGGTCAGGCCGGGAAGAATAAATTAATTCATTTTTGCAATTAAATGAGTATAAATATATCCTTGGTATTTATTTTCTGCCGTGATAGTGCCCCCAAAATTAAAGTTTGCCAGTGGTCATAAATATTTGGTTCCCACTGACAATGTTGGTACTGTAATTGATTGGCACATGCAATAATGAAAATCCTAAATACTAAACATCTGGGTAATGTACAGCAAGCTGAGGTCACATGACTACTTGATGCATACTCATTGTTATATGAGTTTGTTGGGAAAAGGGCAACAATTTATGTATGCACTTTTGAATTTAAATTTTTTTCCTGAATGGTCACACTACCTCTCTTCACAACAGTAATTTATGCTCTACCTACACACAGAGTACATCCTGTCTTATGCTCCTGCTATGAAGCCATTTGGAATGAAAAGTGTGACGTACCGTAGCAGCAGCAGCACAGCCACCGTAGATGGTCTCACACCGGGTGATCGGTACATCTTCAAGATTAGAGCCACCAACAGGAGGGGTCAGGGACCACAGAGCAAGATCCTCAGTGTTGTCATGCCGGGATGTAAGCCCATTTCACTATAAACAGTATGTGTGGGCCTGTAGGCCTATGCTTCAAAATTTGATTAATCCTGTATTCATGACAATTTTTGTCTACTGCCAGCCAGCAGCGCTGCCTCGTCGTTCTCAAAAACCAAGGACAACCGCAGGACTATCCACACTCCTTCCAAACAGGATACCGACCATGATGAAACTGACCTCCAGTCAAGAAAGGTAACAGAAGAACCAACCACACCCCCTCCGCCACGCTCTGGCTTACCTGTCAATAGGCCTGTACGCCCAGTTTCCCAGTCACGCTCCTATCACAGCATCTTGCCCTCTGTAAGGGGCTCAGTCAGGAACACAGTGAACAGAGGGTCATCCAGAGGAAGAGCTCAAGATAGAGAGGATGAGGAGGAAGAAGAAGAGAAAATATACACAACGGCATCTCCAGTAGAAGAGACGACAACCATGGAGGTTGTACCGGAGACAAAAGAACCGGACAATAATGTTTCTCCTGAATTTGAAGATGAAGCGGGATATGATGAAGGGCCTCTGACTACTGAGCGCCCCAGCCTCAAGATTTCGACACCCTCCCCAATTAAACCCCGTCCCAATCCTCCACCCAGGAGGCCCATTAAGATCAGGGTCCATCAAAAACCAGGATCCAAAGCTACTTCCTCTTCTTTGTCTAACTCTTCATCCTCCTCATCTTCCGATAAAGCCAGCACAACACATACTAAACCCTCCTCTACAGTTGTAAAAGAGACCAATTCACAGCAGACAGAGGCTACATCTGTTGGAAGAGGTTCAGTGTCAGCGGGGCGCACCAAGGGCTCTGGGTTGGGCTCTAGATATGGTTACAGTCGAAGACATCCTGGAAATGTGTTTAGAGGGAATTCAACTCGAATGCTGAATGGTTACAAACCTGCTGTTACCTCACAGTTGAATTTACCAAGCCCAACTCCAAACCAAGCAACTTCAAACACACATAGCTCAGCAACATCACAGTCCACTTTACCAGACAGGACATCACCTGAGCGAGACACAACACACAGGGAGGAAAATTATGACAGCAATAACAAAGACACAGACGCAGAAGCAATCAAAGTTGAAGAGCCTACTTCAAACTCTAAACCACAACCCACAGAGGAGGAGAGAGGGGAGGAAGAGGCAAAGGAGGAGAGCAGTAATGAAAAACCTGTGGTTTCTCGTACCAGAATTAGCCCCTCATTTGCTGAAAGGTTCCCTTGGCTAGCTACCCGTTACCCTGGCAGGTTTGGTTCTGGGACAAGAGCTTCATCACCCAGGCAGGATGGTAGGAGCTCCTTGACCAGGACATCATCCTCCATGGGGGCTGGTAGACCTGTCTTGAGGGGGACACCCACTAGGGTGTCAGGGGCCACAGGTGCTGCAGGAGTATCCACGATACAGGAAACTAGTGATGATCTGAGGACTCATGATTCACTAAAGAATGGGGTGGGTTCAGTAAAGCCTTCTTTGACCAATATAAATACAGCCTCTAGTGATGCTAGAAACCCAACTACCTCCTCCTCTTCATCATCTTCCTCTTCAGCAGCAACTTCTTCAAACTCTGATTCCCATTATTCCTCTGGTAGACACAGAGTCTCAAATCAGCCAGTCCCTAGAGAAACCTCTAATGACAATAATAATGATCATAACGAGGATTATCTCGATGAAAGGAGTAGAGAAATCAGTGGAAAAAATGATAAAGTTGCTATAAATCCAGCTGACCCTAACAGACATGTAGAAGACAATGACAGTGTGGAAACAAGGGAAACTTTTTCCAGGACAAGACCTGGATCACCGTCCGGAGGCACTCAAACTTATCGTCGTCCTGGTGTGGGGGGGAACGGGAGGGTACACTCTCCTCTGCTTGCTAACCGACAGTTTGGTGGATCTCGGCTTCCCATCAGACCACAGCCAGCACAGAACTCAAGGATGGGTTCTTCAACGTCCGATTCCTCCTCATCATCATCTGACTCTTCTTCCTCAAATTTGCCACGGCCAGTTTTGACCTCAGATCGTGATGTTGGTAGTGGTACTACTGTGACAAAGACAGGGGGATTAATTGGAGGCAACTCCCAGTCTACATCATCATCCTCAGCATCTTCATCATCATCTAGGGGCCAGGGAGGTCGGCCTCGCTATCCCATTGTCAGAGGGAAACCAACCAACGGAGGACAACTCAAGCCTGCAAATGGAAATGGTAAAGTGCATGTGATTTAAAGTTGCTGCCAGTGCCACTGCCTGCTACTGTATTACTCAAAAGGTGCAAGGATTTGCTTCGGGAAAAAGCTAACTGATCAATCATTTGTAGATGTTATGATACAGTAATCAGTTCATTATTCAGTAACAAAATAACTTTTCTTGAATCATATAATTGTTAGGTAAAAATGGACGACCAAACCTGACAGCAACAAATGATAAAGATTCCTCTTCCTCTCATGGAACCAGCAAGGCCGTTGGTCAAAAGTTTATCACAGGACCTGATGGAACCAAATGGGTAACTATGTTTAATGGTTTAGGGATTGTAACAATAGATGTAATCTTACATTGTGATGCATATTGTTCTTGAGTATTTTCTTCTGGAGTAGCATGATGTAATTTATCATTTGAAGGAACAGTTCAACATTTTGGGAAATGCACTTTTTTGCCGAGTTTGATTTGAAGAGTGCCACTCTAATATCTGTGCAGTAAATATGAAGCTACATCCATCAGATGATTAGCTTAGTTTAGCATAAGGACTGGAAATAGGGAAACAGCAGGCATGGATCTGTCAAAGGGTAGTCTCCCATTGTAGACAGAGGCTGTTTCCAGTTATTTGTGCTAAGATAGTTTTTTGGCTGCTGGTCTAGTCATCTAACGAAACCAAAACGTTGAACTAATGTCTTTCAAATGTCACAGATCTATATTTCCCATTGTAATGGTTGACTGAATCTGTTTATACTACATAGTGAACTTCAGTGAACTTCACTAAATTTCCTAGTCAGGATGAGGCAGTTATTACATTTGTATCTATATGAATTGCTGTATAAATTTGGCAAACTTTTTTTTCTCTCCAGGTAATAGACTTGGAACAGGGGGTTCTTATGAACGAGGATGGTCAAGTTCTCCAGGACTCCCAGGGCAGGCCTAAGAGAGTGGTGCTTGGAGAAGACGGAAGCACGATTTTTGGTGATAAGCTTCTGTCAACCTTGCACGACATTTAAACAAACAGTATACAGCTTGAATATATGAAAAAAAAAATAGCTTGAATCGTTCTCATTATTCGCTTACTGTTAACAACAAAGTAAGCTGCAAGAATACATTTTATGTTGACCCAACTCTTTGCTTCTCCACTCCACCTACCACCAGACCACATGGGTAGTCCTCTGTTAAACCAGGAAGGTATAGCTCTGTTTGGCCACGGCCGAGAAAGCCTGCCTGTGGTCAATCCCAAAGACAAGGTCCTCATGGTTGGAGGGAAACCTGTACTTGGCTTGGACCTTCCTCACCTCAGAACCACCACCAGCACCAGGGCTCCTACCACCACCACCACCACCACCACCAGGGCTCCTACCACCACACCTGAACCCACCACCACTGACTGGATCATAGAGGAGTCTACCACTGCACCGCCATTCCCAACCTGTCCACCTGGAACCTTCTCGAAAACAGATGAATACGGGTATCCAGCACTGGATGCAGAAGGAATATTGGACTGTTATCCAGAAGGTGAGACTTTGAGAAAGACATACCTGAAAGTCATTATAACGCACTGCAGACAGCATTTTAAAAGATTATTCTAGGAAGAGATTCATGCTAAAGGAATGAAACAAAATACTGCAGTGCCCCAACTCGCAACATAGCTTAGTAAATAGATTTTCCGCATAACTGAATTCAAGTTCAGTGAATCATTTTAGAGCCAGAATAGTGACTTCACTAAATTGCTTGGTTGTATTGTTTGTCATATCCATCCAGGCCAGGGCCATGAGTGTTTCCTGTCTGTGCCCACAGAGTCCTATAACTTTACAACTGTGTGTGCCTTAACTGTGTGATCTGGTCAGTGTGTGTGTGTGTGTGTGTGTGTGTGTCTGTGTGTGTAGATGTGAGACCACAGAAACCACATCCAAGTCTCCACATCTGGTGGCTCAATGCGGTCAGAGTACTGCTGGTTTAAACATACTACGAGCTGTCAGTTGCACATTGCCATTTGTGTTTTTGTACAAAGACAATGAATGAAATATACTGAAAACACATGCATGGACACACGAACCATGGGTATTATAGTTATTACATTACACATGGTGGAGCATTTGAAAATAATTTAACTGAACCAAGCCTGTAATGTCAGAATTTTAGATTTGCAAACAACCAAAACACTCAAAAGTATTTAAAACATAAAAGTACCCCATACATACACCAAAACAAATCTAACTATGTGAGCACAGAGCTTCCATTGTTATTTGTGTTTCATTATGAACTTAACATCATTTGTAAATGTACAAGTATTTGGTTTTGGACTAACACACAAGAAAATCTTGCCAAGCAATACATCGATTTCTAGTGTGTGGATCCTACAAGCAGTGATTTCTATTTGAGAAAGAAACAAAGTAATGATGATTTATATCTGCAGTGTAGTTTCTGGGATATTGTTCTTGTTTGTTGTTGTTATAACAACTGATAAAATCCAGAAAAAGCTTATCATACTGCAAACTGATACAGCTGAAGTATAAAATAACATGATTTGAACACTTTTTTTCCTAACTCATCACACAATTAAGTTCACTGAAATCTAGCCAGAGTTACATTAGTGTCAAAATGTGTATTAGTGATTCCACCTACAGCATGTATTCAAGTAGGTTTGTCTATATGGAAGCTTGGGTGTACATGTCAATGTGTGTATGCTAGCTCAGAAATATATACATGGTCATGTGAGATTGATGCTACAGCTTGTTCTACTTCTCTGACAGAGGAATCCTCAGGAATGGAAATGGACTACATGCCTGATGCTTTAGTTCTTAAGAAAGGTATTGGCTGAGTTTGGCTTCGGACCGTCTTACCGCTACTGGGCTTAACTACATTACATGCTCATTGTTTGTTGACTGTTTATTTGTCATCCTGTCTCTTCCTCTTTGCCTTGCGTGTGGTCTTCACTTTGTTTCTCTTCTTGTATGTTTGTTTGGCCTGGTCTCGGTTCACGGCTGGGGTTTTTGGATATTTTTCCATTATGGTCTGCTTTTAATCACATTCATTCCAAAAACTTGACCATGTGGACTGCATTACTAAGCTGAAGAGAATGCCCTGGCTTATGATCGAATGCAATGTATTTGCTGTTGTGAATGTTGCTTTGTAATGTGATAGATGAACCTCAGCTTCAGCTAAACACCAGCTGAGTGGAAACTGCAGCATTTGGTTGATGTGAGCCATTGTTCTAGTTTCACTACATGTGTTAGGATCTATCAAGTTTTATGTTGCATGTGAGCAGCATTTGATATTTGCTTTCTTTTTGGGGTTCTGCTAGAGAAGACACATTGAGTATTACAATATTTTCTTAGCATTTCCCTGCCATGGCTCAAAGCTGGTTGCATGTGTGTGGACCATGATGTAATGCCAAGGCCCACTGATGCGGGACAGGGGAAAAAAACAGCAATGAAAGCAGAAGAAACTAATTGGATTTCCCCCATTTGTCAGCCTTGGAGACTTGTGAAATGGCCGTTGTCGTCAAGGCCCCTCATGTGGAAAATATGGGGAGCAAATCATTACATAAGAATACATATTTGGGTGGTAGGGGTAGAGGAGGTTATTTCAAAGTGAGCTCACACATCTGCCCACAATTCATTAAATATATTTTTTAATCTATTCATTAAATCTATGTATTCCACATATCATGGTGCCAATTACAAAGGATTAATGAAACACATCAGCATAATAAAGAATTTGGATGTAAATAATGTAAATGTATTTGAATCAAAAGCTCACTGACACATGTGTTGTTGCTAGATGAGCTTTTTGTCCAGACCACCTTGCCCCCAACAACCACCACCACCACCACCACCACCACGACAGAGATCCCGACTCCAGAGCCAGACACCAGACCATCCAAACATGGCCCATCATCGGAGTTTGACCTCAGTGGGAAGAAGCGATTCACAGGTACTCAAAGACTGAAATGAGTGTGTCTCAATCAACAAGAGTATCTTGAATATTTGATTCAAATTGGTTCCATCCATCCGTAATTAGGTCAAAATAACAAAGTTCACTGAGGACACATTGTTCAGGCTCTCCAGACGTGATCTCAGTAAACTTCAGCCCCCTGCTTTCTTTTTACTGTTCCTACGTGCTTACTTTGGCCTCTCATACTATATCACCTCATCTGGTTGCACAAACAGTCCACAATATTCTCATGACAGAAATAAAGATAGCATCAACTCGACTCCAACTTTAAAAAAAAGACATAATGTCAGAGGTCCTTTCAATAGCGCTATGTTTAATGGCTGCACTGTTTGTTGTGTTTCAGCTGTTGAAATAACAATTGTGAAGATACTGCAACGGTTGCAGTATCTTGCAGTGCAACCACAGACTTTAATAGTACATATTTAGATAAATACCAGTAAGTACTCACTATATAGCTTTGGAAGTCTATCGACGCGTTGAAAACCAAGATATAATGACTTTTGGTCCTTAGGATTGGTCATCCTACACTTCCCATAATGCAACTCAGGCCAAGATGCATGACAGATGACGCATCAATGATTTTTTTCAGACTGAACAAAGATCGTTCCAGAGCCATGGCAGACTTCACAAGCTGTGTAACACATCCCATAGCAAGTATTTTGACTTTGACATTTAAAATTGGCTGAGTGTAAAGTAATGCACACTTTCTGACCAATCAGAATCAGTGGTTATCATTCTAAATGCAAATGAGTGCCAAGCCTGTTACTAGTCAAACAAAGTGGATGAAACCTTGAGTAACGGCCTCACCATCGTTCATTGAAGAATTAAATGCAACTTGTTACTGTCACAGTTGTAGGGATCTTTGTGTGCAACCTTTTATATGGGTAGATGTATGGCTGTGTCTTTACCAGTGCAATGCCAGAGCTATCAGTATCATCTGCTCCAGAAGCAACAGTGGGACAATAACATGGCTTACTCTGGACACCATTTTTCTTGGTAAACGATGACTGCCTTGTGATTCCCTCACATAGAGCCATCTGAAAGCTGTTTTATAAATAAAAAAAGATAGAGCGGTGGAAATCAAAAAAGTTAAGGGTGCTGACCTCAGCACTGAGAGAAGCATTTGTTGGCTCATCCACTTTCATATTTATTAGTTTAATATAGTTTAAGTATAGTCTACTGACATGATTTGTATCACTCTCACTCACTCACTCACTCACTCACTTATTTGATCATCCTGCTTGAGATAATAATTCTTAGCAGTTGCATGAATCTGCTTTACAGTTAGATCCAGATGTATGAACGTAGCCAGAGTGGACTAGAAAATCTGTTCCAGGATGTTTGGACTAACAGAATGTTATTTATGCCTTACTGGACTGATATTAGAATCATTATGTGAACTGACCTGATGCTGTTTCCCAGTGTCATTTGATCCATGTCTGGCTCACACACGACAGTTTTTGTCAGTGTTTTTGGATTTGGCTTTTCAACAAGCAGAATAAGACAGACAGAATGACACATAAACAGAGCAAAACATCTGGATCTTCTGTGTGTATGAGCCTGCACTGATCCTCGACATGTGGATGCTGTTCAGAAATGCAGCCTTACAAGCACCCTGTGTATAGACAGACACATAAATCTGCTTACCTTGACGACGGATCATGTATTTCAGTGTATGAGTGCGTAATACAGTATATAAGCCATATGATTGCGTATACACATACAGTAGGATCTTGCGAAAGCCTAAACCCATACAGCCTCACAGACTGTGTGTTGTTGTGTAGATAGGCTACTGACATGTGTTACACTCTTGGCGTGTGCAAAGGGACAATCATCTGGGGAGCTAGGAGCGACTCCAGGCTCCAGTGGCTCCGTTTGAATCGCAGTCACACTAGGAATAGTGGGATAACTGAAGTGTTCACAGCTGTAAGTCCAGCTGGCTTTTTCCAGAGTACTTTGAAAACAAACAAAGAAAGAAAAAAGGCGCTGGGGAGGAAACAAATTAAAGATTGTGGGTATTCACATGAGCCAGGTACCCACTTTTAAAAAGGACTACGAACAAACCTCAAATTAGGCTATGTCAAAATGACTTACTGGAAAAGTTAAAATAGTATGACCTAGAAAAGTATAAACATCTTTAAAATTCTGTTACATACAAAAGTTCGTGCCATTAACATCAATGATTTTAATAAATAATGCAAGATAAATATTGGTATTTATTATTAATTGCCTATATGAGGCAATTACGTAGTTAAAATAAATAACTTCTCCTTTCCATTTCATTTTTCTTGACATCAGCTCCCTATGTGAACTACATCCAGAAGGACCCGGCTTCTCCTTGCTCCTTGACGGAGGCTCTGGAATATCTTCAGGTTGACGTCCTGGAAGACCTAATGGAGAAGGACAGCCTGGCAGCCAATCAGAATCAGCCTCCCAAAAACAAGCCTCATAACCTCACTGTGGTCGCCATGGAGGGCTGCCACTCATTTATCATCCTGGACTGGGGTCGCCCACTGAAGGATGATATGGTGTCAGGTAGGAGATGTTTTGCCATAACTTAAAGTCCAGGTAAAGTCAAATCTAAGATGTGTTTCTAAACACATTATACATGTGGGCCGCTGCATTGGTTGGCCAGTGCACCGTCACAAAATCCATAAAGTTTTTACCAGCCGTCTGGCCCGCTCTGTATTCCTATGTTCCTCATGTCATATGGTGCACATGAGAGCATGCTGCATGCGTGTTCCAGTTAAACTTGTGCTTTCGTCATAGTCTCCAGCGTACCCTACTCCGCTGTTACTGTTTGCCGATGTTTATCAGTGGAGGAATTGTTTTGAGCGTTGCAACCCACATGAAATGATTTGTTTCACAGTCAAAATTTAATCAATTCGGTCGGATAACATTTTGAAAGTCTAGAAGAGCAGCAGAATTTTTTTATAGCATAGGGCTTAACCGTAAGTTACAACACATTTTTCTATGATGTGACAAACACATATTGATTTTCCCTTCATCTATACTTGAAAGTTGAACCATTTAAGCAAAGACATTATTACACGCACAGCACATTCTTGGTGTTTTTTTTGTGGTTAATAATGTATTAACTTTTATGTAGTTCTCTGTTGTGATTGCACGCCAGTCGTACGCCACTAAACCGTTGTAAAAGAAGAGAGCTTTAATTGATAAAAACGTGAAGTAAATATGGCATTATTGTTTGTTTCATGGTATTTATTGGAGGAACGTTGCAGTAAACATGTTCCTTTTGTCTGCCACTGGTATTTGTCTCCGTTTCATCAACCTTTCATATTAACACATGTTACCAACATCTCTCCTGAGTCAGATTTTAGGATCTTATTCCAGCATTTTAATGTGAATAAATCAGGAAAAGGTCGCATTGAACACAGGGAATAGGGCTCTTAAGCTCCTACAGAGTTTCTCAGGGAAAACCAAAATTCCTTTGACCTAAAAAATAAAGGGGGGGGGGGGGGGGGTTCTGGGACAGAGCAGAGACTGAAGATAACAGCATAGTGTATGACACGTGGTGGGCTATCAAAGGTAACAGCCTGGCTAGCTACAGAGGCAGTACGTTTTCTTTGGCAGGAACACACTAGCTCCTGGTCATGCTTTGGGCTCATCTGTCCACAGATGTGTAAAACAGACAGTTGGTCTTTACCACCACTGCTGTTTTCTTCCCCACTTTCTTTCCATCTGCTCTCCCTGGTGTATCCTCTCTGCTCACACACACACACACACACACACTATCTTGACGCTTTCTGCATAACTTTAATGCATTTTGCACTTAATTTGTCTGGAAATTATTTGTGCCAACACTATTTTCTCCCATTTAAAATACTTTCATTTAGTTTTATCTTACATTCCATGCTACATTCCATAAACTAATTTATTTAAGGTTTATGACGCTGATGTACGGTTGGTTTCTCTGCTTTTATGTGTGATAAAACAGTTTCAGTCATACTAACTTTTATGTGAATGTATGTATTGTGTATTGCAAAGACATACACTGTAAATACAGCTGAAATTATCTGCAGGTACAGTTCACACATGCAGATACAATCACAAGGTGCTGTTTTAGTTATTAGGGCGTGTTTGCACAACCGTGTCTTACAGTAGGAGTTATGGGTCACAGCTTTCAAAACAAGTGGATGGAAACAGCTATTAGCAAGTGGACTCAAGAGACGAGGGACAACATTGGCAAACTTTCTTTCTTTTTTTTACCTAAACCCAACTTCTGGTTCCGTTAACTCTGATGCATCGACGACCTTTTGCTTAAAGGTTTTGGGCGAGACGTGCTAATTATTCACGGAGTATAATTAGTGTTGCACTTGGCTCAAAGGTCCAACTCCTTTGGAAACACTTAACACATGTACAGCTAAAGCAGAGAAAGAAGAGTAGGCAAGAGTCTACATACTACTCTATGAAACCTCAGTTTAACAATATAGAATGGTGAATGAATGAAAAACCAAAAGAGGAATAACAAAGTAGCAAGTATTTCCCTCCTCTCCTGTCAGCGGCCAGCTGTGTTGATATGGCTCCAGTAAAAATAGAAACTCAGACTCAAAAGTCCATTAGAAACAGTTGGTAGTTTGATGTGCGGCAGAGCTGTTATCCACAGTTTTAATGTGAGTGATTGAGTGCTGCATGACTTGAGGTTGCTTTCCGGATTCTAAGGATTACTCTGAGAAGAAGAAAACACACTGCCAGGTTGGAGGATAGTCAGCATGACTTGCCAGGGCAACAGTTTTTCTTTGGTTAAATGTGTATGGTGGACCACCTACCCTCACAAAATAGTTGAAAGCATAAAATTAATGTTTTGGTCATGTGAGGCCAAGGTTGATCATGCAAAAAAGTTGCACAGGCTTTAGAGGTGCTGGGTTTGTTACATTTGGACTGAGCCAGAGTAGCTGTTTCCCCATTTGTGCTAAGCCAACCATACCATCTGCTGACTTTAGCCTCATATTTACCTTATAGAGAGTGCTATCGACTGTCTCATTGGTAAGTGTAAGTGTAAATGTCTAAGTCTCAAAATGTGAAAGTATTCCTTTAATGGTGAACCTCAGGGTATTGTTTTGTTTCGCATTAAAATGGATATAAACATAAACAATGTCTTCCTAACTTATCGTCTGCAACAGTGATTTCTTTTTCAGTTCTTTTCTAACACCTAATGCCCGTTTATTCTGTATTGTTCCCTGCAGGCTACATGGTCCACAGCGCTTCATATGATGATGTCCTCAACAATAGATGGTCCACTAAACCCTCCAGCGGGTCCCACCTGGCTTTGGAGAATCTCAAACCAAACTCTAGGTAACACATAACCCACCTGGTGTGTGTGTATATCATTGTGTATGCATGGTTACAATGCTTAGAGGGCGGTTGATGTTACAAGGCTTTCATGTTCATTGATTCACAGTATCATCTCCCACATGGGAGTCATCAAAAAAGGGAACCTGACCTTATAGACAAAGATATGCTTTGTTGAAAGACCCCTTATCCTGACCTGCATGTAATGTTTACGACGAGGTTGCTGCCTCGGGTGCAGGTGCTTGGCTGTGGCTAAGTGTTTATATCATTTAGCCGTCATCACATAATGCACAGAACATGCATTCTGTCTGGATGTCTGTATGTGACTTCAAGTATGCATGTGTCTGTTGGTATTATTCCATGTTTATATGGGAATCAGAGCAGAGTATGACTTGGATACTGATACTGTAATGCTTGTATAAGGTTTCGTAAAACCCTCAGAGTGAAGTAAATCCGTTTGGCTAAATGGAAGCAGGTAAAAAAACATAAATACAGCACACACTATCTGACACTTCCACACAGTATACAGTCACCTAGGTCTGTTTCAATTATTAGAGCGTGTTTCCAAAACCCTGTTTTATGAGACACGGGTTACGGTTTTCAAAATAAATGCATGGAAACAGCTTTTAGCACTTGGGCCCATGAGAGGAAGTGAGAGTTCTTCGAAAAAAAACCAAATTCTTGTTTCATTTATAGCTGTGCATTAAGCACCTTTTGCTTGCATGTAAATGATGCATGTTTTAAAATCCTCTAGCTTCTTTGCAAATGCGCTGTTTTTTTAGTCAATGTATGAAGCAAGTTATAAATTGTCTTCTAGTACTAGCTCAGAACTTGCAAGCTGTATGTCACTCAAGAATCTGGTGGAAAAACAGTTTCAGATGTGTGAGTTCATCAGGGATAGAAGAAGTATCCTCTCACCCAGTGGAGGCACACATTTGCTTGAGGTGTTATGATAAGTGTCTCATCTTGGGCCTTAGAAAAGCGTGGTTACTGTTGATCCTGGGATGCGACAGTGTTGGTATTTCCTATGCTGCAGGCTCCTTCTGCCTGCTGAGCTACACTAGGCCTCAGCGCACGTATGTAGATTCACATGTGGACAAATTGGATCCACAAGTTTTCCTGCTGATAAATGGAGTGAATTACAAAGGACATTATTTTTAATGCTTCCAGCTTGTGAGAGAATTTGCTGCGTTAGTAAATTGATTCTCTTCTTTATTGGTCAGACAAAACAAGGCATCTGATGATGTGGCAATGTTTGTTTTTAGTGTTTTATTGTCCAAAAATAATCCATTAGAAAATATACACCAGATGAGGTCTCATCGATGATGAAGATAATCATTTAGTTGTTGCTGTATTCGGGTTTCTCTTGCAAAATCGATCTAAACCTCTGATTAAATATATACATAGCCAATTTGAAACACTGGTTCATGCTTGTTTTTTTGTGTGTCTTAGAACAGTTTTCATTGAATATCGACTAGCGTACGTAGTTTTTGTGGCTGAACTATCATATATTGTATACTGAGGAGCATATAATATGGCCATGCTGAATCTGGCCTTGAGTTGCCACATAGATTTTCATCTGAAGTGAAGACAAAGATCGATGCTCTGAATGAAGCTGAGAGCCCTCTGTATTGCACGTTTCAAAGGGCTAGCTTGGCTCAATGTAGAATTTCGTGGCCCATTCTCTGTTTTTATATTATGACTCACATTCTTTTTTTTTTTCCTTCTCCAATTTCTTCTTTCATTACATCATCTCTCAGCAGCTGCCTTGCTGCCTTCTCTCTCTCTCTCTCTCTCTCCCACTCTCTGGCGATATATATTTTGGTCGCTGTTGTCATGTGGCTATTGTGATTGGATCCAGGCCTCGAGGATGTACGTCGTGAAAGTTTTTTTCTAGGAGTTGACTGACCATGAACTTACTGTATGCAACCTTGCAGAGTGAAAGGGAGCACATATGCGCACAATACTGCATTAATGAACACACACTTGCCCAAACACACCAGCCAGCTACAGTGGAACACGTTTGCAAACTCTCTGTCACTGGGGTAGTTTTTAATCTGATAGGATTTAATTATTCTCCACCATCTGGAGACTAAGTGAGCTCTCTGTGATGAATGTCTTAAGGACTCTTCCTCTCTTTCAACCCCCTAACATTTATTAATTTTCTTTCAGCATATACATATATATACTGTATATATCCCTATGCTTTACTTGTTCCATATCCCTCCTTTCTTCTGTCTTTCGTTTGTATCTTCTATCTGTTAATCTCCACTTGTCTAGATGCCTCTTTTTCCCCTCAGCGCCTTTCCCTCCTTCTCCCTTCAACACAAGCCAAATAGCCATTTTATTGTGCTGCGCTCACTTTGGATTCATACGAATAAAAAACAGACTACTCTTAAATCAGCCAGACTGAAGCATGCCCAGTCATCTGCTATGGTCATTAACATTTCCCTCACTTTCACACAGTCACAACAACACAGGCAGAATTACACTTTAACTCTCTCATGTAAATCCTTATGTTGTGTTTTTTATTTCTATCCAGGTACTACTTCAAAGTGCAGGCCAAGAATGTGTTTGGTTTGGGACCCGTCAGCAATACGCTCACCTATGTCACCGAATCAGGTGTGTAACCTGTCAACGCCTGCTCAAACTAGCTTTAGATCTTCTGCTGTACTGCATCATACAACGACAACGTTATGGTGACATTCATTGTATTGCAATGCAAGATATCCTTGCAGTGAAAGCAGACTAGCAGATTTACTCTGCGTTATGTGCATTATGGGTATTTCATTCTCAATATCAGGAGAATGCATTAAACCTGCAGTGCTGCCTGTTTGCTTTTCCTCCCTTGTGAAATGATCGCACTCTTTCTTTCAGACGATCCTCTTCTCATTGAAAGACCACCTGGTAAGTCCATACACCGACTGCACGTCTCTAGTTTAAGGGCAACTGGCCATATCCTAACAAAGCTGCAGGTTTTAAAGAGGGAACATTCGTGCTGTTAGGATTTAACCAATTTCACTACTGAACCATTTATGATCAGTAGTGATTGCTACTTTGTATAGGTATACTTTGTAAAGTTTAATCAGTAATAGGATTTGGTTATTGATATTCACTGCTAAATATTATCATGTGAGACATAAGTATTTTCTCCATTTTTTTATAAGACTTTATTTATAACGTACACATAATCACTCAAACTGCATACAAAACAAAAAACAAGACAAAACTCTAACTATATAACCTCATCTGCTTCCCTCTCTGGATCTTCCTTAAAGACAAAGGGCTTCACATGAGATATGAAAAGACATTAAGACAAGATATAAATGGAGGATAATAGAAATTACAGTGCAGTGCAAGACATCAATAAATTATCCCAAATTTTTAAAAAAAAAAGTATATTGCCAAACAGAAAAGTTTTAAACCTTGATTTTAAAGAACTGAGAGTTGAAGCAAACCCCGAAGTTTTCTCTGGAGTTTGTTTTAAATATGTTTAGTTTTGCCTCTGGAGACAGTGAACCAATGATCCCCCAGACGATCTGAGATAAGCATAATTCAGCTCTATGTATAAAACACATGCCTTCTGGTTACCTTAGGACCTGGCCATTTAATATCTGACCATAACAGAAACAACAGTTTTGATTAAGTTTGATATACTGTTAAATATTATCTTCATTGTTCAGCTTTACACACAAAATTGAGTTTATTCTCTCTATCGTCTCATCCTCCTCAGTGTATTCATGATGCGTCTATTCATAGGATGCATATTCTTTGCCACAACATGATGCATCTCCTCCTCTGCTCCTCAGGTGGGGAACCAATCTGGATTCCCTTTACCTTCAGGTATAACTCAGCCCACAGTAGCTGTAAGGGCAGCCAGTACGTCAAGCGGACATGGTACAGGAAGTTTGTGGGTGTGGTTTTGTGTAACTCTCTGCGATACAAGATCTTCATGGGAGATGAGCTTAGAGGTAACGTATGACATCACCTACATTTAAACCTGTTATGGTCAGTACTTTTCTGAATGATGATACCCATTTCCCTTTTGCTATCGACAGAGCCCTTTTACAGTATAGGGGATACATTTGGCCATGGAGACGACCATTGTCAATTTGTGGATTCCTACAGGGACGGAAGGACCGGTCCGGAATACCTCTCAAATTATCTGCCCTCAGCACAAGGTAAACAAGTTGCACATTTGTGGTCTTGATATTTAGATCTAACCTATTATGTTTTTTTTCCATGCAGTCTGGCTCTCTGGCTCCTTAGTGGACCAGATGCATTGATCGTATCTATGCAGAATACAGATTGTATTGTTCAAATGAATACTTTTTAAAAGGACCTTAGAGGGTTTAGCATGTGTTAGCCCAAATGTCACCTGCTTTTCATTACTGCAGACCATTTTCCTCATTATACCTTAACTTCTTAAATTAAATTAATGTCAGAACTTCGTAGCCATTGTTTGTTTCAGGTCATGTCAGTACACAATGAGAATATTTGAAACTTGAGCATCATTTGCTGGTAGTTGGCTTTATTTTTCTATCAAAGTCCCATTGGCCTAATAAAGTTAAGTAGTTATGACAACCTTCTCTTGTTGCTGTGTTTGTTGTAGTGGCTAGCCGCCTCCCTTCCACTACAAGTGCTCAATACGGATGATATGCAGACATGCTCACTCTTTTTTGCTGTCGATACATTTCTGCAAATGACTATGAACAGCATCATCATTTCTTTCTCTTGCAGGATTTTATCGCGCCTACAGACAGCAGCCGGTTTCATTTGGAGTTATTGGTCGACGCACACCCCATCCATTCGTGGGCTGGTATGAATGCGGGGTGCCTATCCCCGGGAAGTGGTAAAACAGGAGGAGTAGGAGACATTGTTACCGTGGGCTTCTGTATCCTGCCGCAGGCTCTTACCGTCTCTGGTCCTGCCATTAAAAACAGACTTTTGCCTGCCACAATGAAATGACACCACTACGAATTCATAACAGCGTCACAGAAAGAGGATATAGTACTTTTAAACAACTCAATGTATATCATTACAATGCACTTTTTTATATAAAGCAGTTTGTATATGAGGGGGAAAAAATAAGCATGTGTGCTTTTGCTTAGTGTAACTCTGGCCTTAAAGTGTCCTTGTACTATTTCCAACTATCCTAAAGACAGGTGTTATTTATCTCATCAATAATGCACTCACACAGTCAAACCCGTGACATTGGACCAAAGCACAAGCTGCGAAGCAAACTGTAAGAATGGGCACTTAAGGTGTGTATAGGTCTGTTAATTTTCAATCGTGAGATTTGTATTTCATAATGTAATGGCTTCTGACAGCCACTTTTTGGTTGTTTATTTGTGTTCTTAAACCATCATACTGTTTTTTACATCCTTTTTGAATTCACCAGAATTCATTAAAAGTTACTGTGTAAGTTTTGTATGTATACAGACAAAGAATAAAAGACCAAATATTTGCTCAGGAATTGTGAGAGACTGAATAAACGGTTATGGAAACCACAGCAATCCAAAAACATGAATCATATTGAATTCTCCTGCTGCCACATTGTTTTCTAGCAAAAGCTTCTAAACGTGAAGCAGATCTCCTTAATCAACCTAATGAAAGATTTGAGTAACAGAGAAAGTTTGGTCGAGCCAGCTGGAACAGCATTCGTTTAAATCGGATGAAAAAACAACATATTGTTGACATCTTGTAGACAGAATCAGGTGAGGGGGAAAGAGAGAATACCGGTTTAGGGGCGTATTAACACACTGCCCCATAAATATCCAAATAGTTTTGTACCGTGATAAGATTTAGCTGGAAATCAGTGGTGGAACGTAACAGATTCAATTTACTCAAGTAGGCCTACTGTTCTTCAAATTACTGTGAGGAACTTTTAACTGGTTGTGAAACAGTCTCAGTTACTGATGCCTCTATAAGACCTACATAAGTAAACGAGAAGAAATCAGCGAGAAGATTGGCTATTTTTATGTATTTATTCCCATTGCTCGTCATCGGCGCCACCAGGTCGGATTCGGCACGAAATCAGGCTCAGACTCCAACAGGGTCAGACCCAGATCCGACTATGCAGCCGCCTTCAACCTGCAGTCGAAAGCTTTTGGAGGAGGAGAGCTCAGCGCCTGGCATCATCGTCCCCTTCTTCGGCTAGGAACGGAGCTTTGCCTCGCTGCTCCATCGGTCCCCGCTGAGAGCCAACACTGACACCACGCTGCTGGAGACCTAGACCGCATTGCTGGGCCCGCTGCAGGAAAGGGAGAAATGGGAAAACCAGAGCCAGGACGGCGCGGAACAGATTGTCAGACCCTGCTGCAGTAAAACGTGTTTTTCTAAGGGACTCTGGTGCTCGGAAGAAATACCAATTTCGTCAACAGGGACCACCAAAATTAACACAAAATTAAAGCTCCTTATAGTAACTTTAAGTACCGAAATGTATTTATTTCGATACTTAAAGGACCAGTGTGTAGGATTTAGTGGCCTCTGGCGGTGACGTTGCAGATTGCAGCCAACTGAATATCGCTCCATTCACCCGTTACCTTCCAAGGGAACCTACTGCGGCCTTCAGGGAACTTAAAAAATGCAAAAGGCCCCATCAAGAGCCAGCGTTTGGTTTGGCTCATTCTAAGCTAATGAAAACGCAACAATTCTTAGTTTCAGGTGATTGCACACTATTGAAAATATACTTTAAATCATACACACTGGTCTTTTAAGATACCACAAATCTGTCTACTTGAGTATTTCCATTTTATGCTACTTTACGATCTCTTTAATATTGTACTTTCTACCCTATTACATTTGCAACTGTGGTTTGCACACTTTTCAAATGTAGTCTGTATACATATAATATTGTGGGACTCACAGGAGCCATTTTGTAGAACGAGTAGCTACTCTTCTGTGGTTGAGCAAGTGTTCAAAGCCTTAACTTAACTAAAGCAAAAAAATACTTCACTCTAGAAATACTTCATTACTGTAGATGTCCTGCATTGAGAACATTCCTTTAGTTAAAGTTTTAGCAGCATAATGTGCTTAAAGTATCAAGTATTCATTTTTTGATTAAAAGTACATTTTGCCAAAAATACTTCTGTAACTCAAGCAGGATTTTGAAGGCAGGATTTTTACTTGTAATAGAGTATTTTTACTTTTTTTATATTAGTTTCTTTACTCAAGTTTAGGTTCTGAATACTTCATCCACCTCTGCTTGAAATAGTATCTTCATCTGCTGTGTTAGATTTAGAAAGGCCTACCGCACACACTTGTTGAACCAATTATCACTTGTATATCCTGGATCATTTGAAACTGAGTATTAAACTGATTACCGGAATGGCGGACGAGTAAGAATTTGCTTCAATGTTGCAAACTACAGATAAAATCTTTCACAAGGAATAGACTTTCATTTCCATGCTGAAAGCCAATTATGGTGGTCAGACTTTAATGTGTTGTTTGAACACGAATGATTGATCATCATAAAACGTACGATCATAAGTGGGTCGGCACCACAACAAACCATATGGAAAACAGATGAGGCTTAATGAATGGCGAGGTTCTTTGGTCTATGCATTGCCATCAATCATTACTCCAGTCATGGGATTTTCACAATCATTTTCAAAATTGATTGCTCTTTCCCTAAAGCCCAACAGCAGAGCCGGTGCTGCCCTTTTCAGTGCTTGCCTAAAAGGTATTACTGTCAGTCTTGACTCAGTGAGAAAGATTGATTATATCCAGTAGCTGCACATACTCGTTTTCAACACATACTTCACAATTCTGCCTCATAGCAAAACCCAATGTATAACTCATATTAAACCCCACCAGTCCTCCAGGAATGAAATTGGATCTTTATAACCCAGAAGATGCAGTAAACTTTATCAATATGCTATAGTACATCTATCAGTATGACACCTAATTATACATTTACTCAGTTGGTATTCAAGCCAAGAATGGGGATAGAAGTCAACTATGGTAAGTGCAAGAAATATAGCCGTGGACCAAACGAACCAAGTCCTCCTTGTTAAAAATGAACAAGTTGCATACTGGCCATAGAAGTGCAGGATTTCTCCAGAAACATTATTTAATTCCATTACATTGAGCAGAGTTAATGCAGTTCTTACTTCCCTTACTTCAACTTACAGTATCAACGGTCTAACCAGCAACCCCTTATGTGAGGAGCACAGGCAGTAGTTTGTTGAGGTTGGCTCCAACGTGGTTGTTTTTGGAGATATAATTGAACAATTTGTCAACACTTTGTGGGATGGTTCTCATTTTCAAACATATTTTCCAAGTATGCAGTGTGTGGATGAAAGCCTCTGCTATCACGTTTTAAGTGAATGATGAGCCTCTCTTTGCCCCAAAATATTTCCATTGGCTGCAAGTTGCAGTGCCATTTGACCTGATTAGTAAGCAACACTGTTTAATACAATGCACTATGTGGAACCACCATTCTAAAAATACAAAACATGAAGCTTTATCCCTCAAAGAGTTTTGTGCTTTAGAAAAAGACCAGAGGAACAAAGGGACAAAATAAAAGACAAACAGGGAAAAGAAGAGATCGAAGGACAAATGCTTTAGGACGTTCACAGGAGGGCTACCACATCTGCTACAGATGTTAGAGAGAATATAGTCACACTTACACTTGTGTGTGTGTGTGTGTGTGTGTCCCGGTCAGAAATGATGACTGCTGTCAGGGGGGAGAAGAAAAATAGATAAACCATAACCAATACAACAGGACGAAGCAGAACTACAAGCAGGAAAACAGGAGTGTGATCCAAGACTTAAAGTGCTTTTCCCACAGGTATTGCTGAAACAACATTTAGAGCATGTGATGCTGAAGCTCCTAATTAAGGCCTTTTAAGAGCCTTTTTATCATAATAAAATGCAAACCAGTGCTTTAAACAAGAGTTTTGACCTCGAGAAACTAAAAACAGCCCTCACACTAACGAATATTGATGTTTCATAGAATTCTGGGAAAAGAGCTCATTGCTTTTAGAACAGTTATGGAGAGAAGATATAAAAAATATGATTGACACACTGAAGGGTTTCAATGTCACTTGGTATATGTGCTGTTTTTTTCAAGTTTTTCCGGCTTACATGTTAGCAACACCATGGGCATCATGTTAGGCATATTATAGGCTACAGTGTCTCTTCCTCATTACTGTCAAATGCAAGTTCAGCTTTCAATGTCATCGTTTTGGTGCACTAACTACAGAGGAACCACGTCTTTTTGATTTGAAATTCACCCCACAGCTAGCTACTTAATTACACCTGTCAGTGATTTTCAACTTGCTGTGATTGTGTACCGTGAAGGGGAGGGGGGGGGGGGGAATGGGGAAAAAAATAGGCGAAAAGCTGAACACTCAAGCTTTTGAGAGCATTTTAATTTACCCTTCAGCAAGCTTCGCTGCTACTCAAGCTGTCAGAGCTACCATGGAAGCTAAAGGCTATAGATCGCAGTAGGGGTGTAACAATATTTGTATTGAATCATTTACAGGACGTTCGGTATGCAACTGTTTTTGTAGCGCACCAGTTGCTGTCAGCTTTTGCTGAGCCGTAGCATGCTAGTTGGTTTTGCCAGGTCAAGCTCAATGGATCACGAATTGTGTGAAGCTTTATTGCGACATTCGGGGATGCGGCCAACATAAATCACTTTTCCATTATTGTTCCATTTATAATTTGATGTGGAGTGGAAACCAGCAAATTTGTGAGCAGATGATAATCAACACTGATAGAAAGAGAGACACATCTTTAACTATGGCTTTTTGTAGAGCAATGGCTGCTATTTCTGTATTGAGGTGTGTGTGGATGCAGAGTCGGAGCTAGACAACTGCGGAGAGAGAGAGAATATTAATTTATCAGTAACAATGTAGCTGTGAGCATAGCAGTGCAGTGTGTGTACAGTTTCGTCTACTTGTCAGTGAATAAATGCTACAACTCCCATGTCTTGCTTGCCACCTGCTGATTAAAGTGAAGGGGCTTAGCCCCGACGTTAACCACAACTTCTGTACAGGCTTTTAGGGTGGACCAGCTAATGTCATTTTAGTGACAATCCGCACGCTCGTCAACTAGACTTAGAGACTTTGGAGGTCGGGATAGGAAACGTAATCCTTAGTGAGGAGGTGTGGTTGACCCCGAAAATGTCTCAGCTTTCATCAGTTTCCATGACTATTGGCCAGTCTGTATAAGTAGTCCCGTTGGTTGGCATGTAAATCTATAAACCACTGAACTCTGTTGCTTTCTTTTATTTGCCAAATATCTTAGTGCTGTGATCACTTTCATTTCTGACGTTATTGCTTTAATTTCCTCTTTGTCTTTGAGCCATTTTCTCCTCTCCTTAAGAAACTCTTAAGCCTCTTGAAAGTCCTCCACCTTTCTCCTAAGAGTTTTTCACTTTAGGAACTCTAGGGGGCCAAGATGCTTTGTGAATAACTGGTATATTGACTAGGATCTTGTCTTAACTTTTAGGGGAAATTCTTAAAAAACGTCATACTTCAAAAAAACGTCTTTGAATTTTGTCACTGGGAGCAATACTTTGCACTAGGAAGCTTTAAGAATATGGCCCCTGAGCTCTAATCCCCAGTGAATCTCATTCTGATAAAAGCCTAAGACCACAATTACATCATGCATGCACTCTATTAGGTGGAGTCTGTGTTTTTATAGGCAGGGTGGTCCTCAGGGTAAGATGTGCTTCACACATAATGACAGAGTTTGGGGAATCAAATGTAGGATCACTGATGTTATTGTCATTTCCATTTAATTTCTTTCTTCAGCATCAAACTTTTACTTGATTAAAAATTGGATTTAGATTTGTTCCATCTGCTTT